AACGTGTTCTTGAAGCTAAGGACATAATAAATATATAAATATTAATGTTCTATTTCGCTTAGCCAATCTGGAAGGTACTGCAGAATGGGACGGTAAGTACCCTTAGATGGAGGAGTCATCTATCTATGTCCTTATAAATGTCGTCAAATTGGACTAGCAAACTAACATTTTAATTGATTAAAAATGCCCATTAAAATTTTCAAAAGAATGGATACTGAACAAAGAGTACTCTTTTCGATAACTTCCCCTTCATCAGGCTCTACAGTTATATATACATTTTAGTGAATGAATGAGCTAGTGTTATGAACGACATTAATGTTTAAATAACATCAAATCAATAATATTGATAGATTACAGCTCAGTAGCATCAACATAGAATAAGCTGAATGTCAGAAACATTGGGAAAGATAATATTACAAATTCATGAGTTTATAGTCTGTACTGAAGGCCAGGGAAATAGTAGGGGCTGGGCTTGCTTCTCTTGAACACAGAGCGCTGGTTGTTTGAGGCGAATCGCAATAGCCTCTGCTGTTTGGAGCCTGTGGTGCTTCGATGATTTCGGCAATTTATTAGGCACCCGGCATATTATAGAGAAGGATTCATCTACTCTGGCTTTGTGTCCTGTTTGCACCAGATTGTCCAATATCGGTCTGCTAATAGTTTTCACTACACCTTTACTTAGCCATGCTGGGAGATGTTCTCGAGCACGAAAAATCAAGTTCCTAGAGCAACGGATAATTAAACTCGCTCCACAAGCACAGTTGAATTCGTAGATACAATTTGAAGTGGCTAGTCTAGGTACTTCATCTTTCAGTCGAGGTGGCACCATCCATCGGTCGTGTAGAGAATAATACGTGTAGTTCGCCAGCAATAAAAGTTCTTTGAACTGATTTTCTTAATTTCTTCGCAATTATCTCGCTTTGTATATCGCCCATGAATTGTAGTCGTATATAAACAGGCTTTCCCCAGCATGGCTAAGTAAAGGTGTAGTGAAAACTATTAGCAGACCGATATTGGACAATCTGGTGCAAACAGGACACAAAGCCAGAGTGGATGAATCCTTCTCTATAATATGCCGGGTGCCTAATAAATTGCCGAAATCATCGAAGCACCACAGGCTCCAAACAGCAGAGGCTATTGCGATTCGCCTCAAACAACCAGCGCTCTGTGTTCAAGAGAAGCAAGCCCAGCCCCTACTATTTCCCTGGCCTTCAGTACAGACTATAAACTCATGAATTTGTAATATTATCTTTCCTAAACTAGTTACTTTCCGTTGTTACTGAACTTGTAGAATTTTTATCCATGAAATCGAAGTATGCGAACTTTATTGCTAAGGCTGAGATCTCTAAATTCCGCGTTTGTGTCATCTTTTTTCTTCTAAGTAACCCTACTTTACTTGGTAGTTATTTTTAAATGTTATTTTTTTTTCTCAGTGTTAAGAATATTTGATCAGGAGATTTTGACGACACAATAAGGATTTCATTACTACATCCATTGATGTCTTCCCCTACATAATCTAATTCTACATGTGAAGGCGGGAGTAAGACAGGGCCGGATTTTCAACTCCAATGTGAAGTCAGTGCTACTCTACACGGATCAGAGACTTAACCAGAGAGTTATAAAGAGCGTCTCAAACAAACTACAGACCTTCATTAACAGCTGTCTTCGCTCAATACTCAAGATCAGATGGCAGAAAATATTAGCAACAGAAAGGGATCCAAGGGAGCGAACCAACTAGGAACCGACTGTGCAACAAACAGGCAGGAAGAAATGGAGATGAATTGGAGGCCATACTCTGAGGAAACCATCAAGTGACATCACTAGAGAAGCCATTGCTCGAGTGGAACCCGAAAGGGAAGCGGCAAGTTGGTCGTCTGGGAGTAGGGTGACTTGGAGGAGGTCATGTGAAGAGGAGATGAGAGCATGTGGGCAGACTTAGAGCCAGGTGAAAACTCTAGCAGAGAATCGAACGCAATGAAGACACGCGGCTGAAGCCCTATGTTCCTCTAGGAATTAAAGGAAAAAATAATAAGTAATTTAGAGTTGCAGCCTGTAATTCTATCACTAAAACCTTAAAACTTCTATGGAACACAGTCTCCTGAAAACGGAAGTGAGTTGCTAGTCGACAACCACATACAATTTCATACATTTGGAGATAAAGCACACGTATTGTGTGAGGGCTGGTGGTACTAGTTGGCTGCTCAAACCTCGATAAGTGTAGATGGGTAACGAACTTACGATCCACTGACAGGGAATCGAGCGCCCTAGCCAGTGGTCCACAGTTTCATTGCCTCCCTATTCGTGTCTACATCGAACTGACTGCGTTCGGGGCGGTGAAGACATGTGTTCTACGGTTAAACATTTCTCAATGCACCTAACGTGTAACGCCAAAAACAAATAATCAGATCTCTTAATAACCCGATTGTGAAATTCATAAATTAACGTTGATAAGTGCTACAAATATGACAGTCAAGCTTTATTATGTTGTAGTGATGTGTTTAACTCCGATAACTAGTTGTTTGCGAATGAAATACTAGTTTTTACAAGTATTAGTTGCTGACATGTACTTAAACTCTGCACTAAAAGAGTTATCAGAGACTTTTACTGGTTAATCAAGATTAAGCATATTGACAAACTATGAAATGTTGGTTCGCATCCTACAATGACTCCTTTTCCTCTTTTCCTACCAACGGCAAGTTAAAAATTAGGGGAATGTAAACTTTCAATTACTACCGAAAGCATGTACGTTTGTTACTTGAAGCATTCTTTGAAGAATTATTCTTTTGATAGTATAATCTACACAAAATGTTCTACTCATTGGTAACACACTAATCTATCTATCAGAGTTGCCTGCTTAAGAAGGGGTAGGAAATTAAAATTAGTTGACCGACGTAATTACTAAAATGTCTCGATACTTCACATTGACTACTCGATAGAGAGAAATGGATGATTTGGCTTCGTTCTGTAGCATCATATTCGAGGTACACTCCTTAAAAGAGTTTATATGCATTAAATGGATGATTATTTAATTATCAGTTATCCATAAGAAATCTGTTCCGTTTGTCTGAGGCTCGGTAAATTATAGTGTAATTTTTATACTACTTATTATTGAAACGTAGTACTAATGTTTTAGATAAAAATTCAAATTTTAGTTTAATGACCGGCGTTACTTTAACACACTTGAGTCTCATAGAAAATCAAATCATAATGAACGAAATCCTATTCGTCTCGTCTGAAATTATTGGCATGAGGGAAATGTCGACCTGCATATTCAATAAAGCACGATAGACAGCTTCATTTAACTTATCAATGATCACCACTGCTTCTAATATCATGCATACCATCTTGATTCTTTTTGATTTAAGTGCAAAACACTGAATAAGCCTTTACAAATACATAAATTTATCAAAAATATTTATTCATAAATAGAAGTCAAGTTATGACTCACAGGCACTTTGCGAATAAAGCAAAGCAACAGTTATTTATTAATTCAAGCGCTAAGCAAGTAGCTTCATACATTGTGTAAAAACTACGATAATGCCTAATTCTGTTATTAATACGCCAAATGTTATTCAATATCTTTCGACAAATAGGATATAAGAATAGTGCGAGTCAAATCAAAGTGGTGATGGCCCACCTTCAAGTACCTGTATTAATTTATTTTTTATTTTTGATTACAGCTTGATTCCACACTGTATTTTTGGTACAAGTATGGAATTTTCAGCATGGATATCGGTAGCCCAAATTTTTAACAGGCCGACCATAGATATATACCGATGCAGCAAAATTCCACATTAAAAACAAAACTAACAAAGACAACTATAACCTTTGAGGAAGTAAAATTCGCTGATCCAATATGTTATGTTAAACGGGAGAAAAAATTGAGCACTAACTTTCTTTGACGGATAGATTGTTAATGATCACAGCTACTGAATTATATAATTAAAGCGCAATAGAATGAAGGTTTGGTTCATCATTGCCTTAAGCACTCATTTTCCAGCCAATTAGTCCAAGGTTCTAGCCACTCTCTACTTACTTTAAGCTAGATGACTGAGATGCATTATCAACCTTAACATAATCATAACTCTGTTTTCATCGGACACCAGGTAGTACGAAATGTCATACGTCTAGTCTCTTTAGTATTGGTGCAGTAAAGCTTGCATTGTGACGAACATGTTGGGTGTCTCATCATCATCGTACACTCTGAACTGTTGTTAGATGGTTGGAAGCAACTGGCAGGCAGCTCAAAACCTAAGTCTTATGCTTGTTGGTACTCGTCAGCAAAGCGAACCTCAAAGGAACTAATGTCCCCCTTCTGAGATTCCAGAGCAATGCTGCAGTCAGAGACGCTACCCCTGAGCTATTTGACGATTCCTTTAAAACTGCTGACACACCTTGCTGACGGGTGCCGACAAGCACGAAACCAAGGCCCAAGGAATCATATCGATTATCTCCAACCATCAAACAGTAATAATCCTGGTCTGTGTGAAATATATTCGAGAGTGGCAGAGCTGATGCGTGTTTACTCAACCAAATATCAGTCTCGAGAAGACCTGTAAGCTAGGATAATTGATGTAGTTTTCGTTGCTACTAAAAATTCACTTAAATTAGTTTTTCAATGATTACCAAGACATATTACTCCTTTTTTATGAGTAGTAAAGGTGGATATCTGCACAAAAATGAAATGAAAAGTCATAGATGTCTATGAATTTTGGTAAGTTTTTTTTTTAATTTGAAATTCACACCACTTGTACAAGTCTCATTAATTTCACTTTGACGAAATAAAAAAAACACCAGTTTTAATAATGACTGAATGATTGAAGATAAACTCATCATTCAGAAATGCAAAAATAAAAAATAAGAAATATCATGAACTCTTTCACAAATAAGCAGATCTGAAACATCTGAATAGGGGTAAAGACAGTTTGTGAAAAAAAACACAAACTCCAGAGATCGACATGTACACTAATAAATAATTCAAAACTTTTTTATACAATTTATTAAACAACAACTTCCATAAATGAACACGTATCACATCCAATACATAGTAATGTGATCATTTCTTTAGAAATAAGATCTTCACTAATACTAATACTACTACTACTACAAGATTGTATATTTGACTGACAATGTGAATTCTGATCAATAAGCCAAGCGTGTAAGGTATCAGAACAACCGGAGGCATTATGTTTCTTTTCTGCATCAGATAAACTATCACCAATCGTCGAAAGATTGAGACTATCAGTCTGGAGAGGGACAGAGAGGCAGGGGAGGAGAAAAATAAAAGAAATTATTGCGAAAAATATAAACTGTGAATTATGGAGTATATTCAGTGTTAAGAGATCAAGATAGACAGATGAAAATCATGCACTGACACAGTAATCTTATTAGATAGTTGGAGGCGATCAGCAGGAAACCTTGAAGTTATATTTCGTGTTTGTTGGTACTCGTCAGTCAGCAAGGTATATCTGCAATTTTTAAGGGATTCATGTCAATTCCGAGATTCGCATCCGCTTCATACAGCGGTACAGTCAGATTTCATTACGGATTACATTACCACTGAGTTATTCGGACTCGCCTCCTATACGATAATTTTATTGGACACAAATTAGTAACTAGTATCAAGTGTTTAGTCCTTTGTTTGGTGCAGAAGGGATTCTTTCAGTCAAGTTTTCAATGTACAAGTATAACATGCTAACCTGGGTGGGGGTGGGGTAAGTTTCGATGTCAGACAATCAATCCGATTTGTCTATTCAAGGCTTCAATTTCTGATGGTTTTGTAAACATAAGATGCCACTTGTCTTGCTTAATAAAAAATTATCGTTTTACCCAGTATGACTTTTATGACAATTTCAGTGTGTCAGATATCTCCAAGTGAACAGTTGGTTGTAAGTTTAGTGTGTACACTGAAGGCGTATTCTCGTCACACGTTAGATGCACCTAGCAAACCAGGATCACTCCATGATAACATGGTATTATGACTACCTCAACTTTATAGACTTTGGCAAGGCCTTCAACAGCGTTGACCGCAAAGTAATTTGGAAACTACTCGAATACTACGGCGTTCGGTGCCAAAATATTCATCAACCTTATTCAACAGCTAGCTGTACGACAACGGCACATGTCAAGTGATCCACAACGGAAAACTCAGCGAGGCGTTTGGAGTAAACACAGGCGTCAGATAAGGGTGCTGGCTTATTATCACCAATGATATTCTTAATTGTGGTGGATTGACTGGATTATGCGTCAGACAGTGGGAAACGAGCAGACAGGGATATCCTGGACCGACCGACGTGAAGAACCTAGAAGACCCGGATTTCCCGCGTGGATGATTTATGTTTGATGTCACACAAAATCGAAGACTTACAAGCGAAAACCGACAGACTGGTCAAAGAAGCAGCCGGCGAAGACAGGACTCCAGGTGAATATAGACAAGATAGAGGTTATGAAAGTAATCAACCAACAACAACATCCAGCGCCAATCACCATCAATGGGAGGGATTTGAAAGAGGTAACTTCATTCACTTCACTTATCTAGGGAGCATTGTCTCAACTACAGGAAGTCGGAACGGACGAGGATGTCAAATAGAGCGAGAATCGGGAAGGCGAGAAACACATCAACATCATCAACCTGAAACCAATCTGGAAATCTTCGTCACTCAGCCAGCATCAACAACAAAATTCAGTCAAATTTTTAATACAAACACGTCAAGTCAATCAGTTCTTCTTTACGGATCAGAAGTGTGGCAGGCGGGTCACAAAGAATATTTCCAACAGCCTGTTGCAGACCTTTATTAACAACTGTCTTCTCTCTATACTGAAGATCAGATGGCCGGGCCTTAGAGAACCAGCAACAAGAAACAACAAGAAATGAGAACAAACAAAACAAGAACCAATCGCCAACCAACAAATATGCAGGAGAAAGTGGAGATGGATTGGACACTTGTGACTGATGAGGCCAATGGATGACATCGGGCGCGCGTCAGGCCATTGCTCGAGTGGAACGCGAAAGGGAAGCGGCGAGTGGGACGTCAGTGGAAGGGTGACATGGAGGAGATCGTGTGAAGATGAGTTGAGACAGTATGGACTAACATGGATGCAGGTGAAAAGTACATCAGATGACAGAAGCAAGTGGAGAAGTGCAGTTGAAGCCCTATGTTCTACTAGGAACGCAAGGGAACCATAATAATAATAGTAATAATGCCTAATTTGTATCACTGTCCTGTCATCACCTAAAGTCTGTCTAGTTGTCAGTTTTAGTTGAGTTGCACACATCCAGAAAGATGACACAGCCCACGAGGAAGAATGTGAGTTTGTTTAGTTATACTTTGAGCTTTTTTACTTCACTTACCTAACAAAAAGTACTACTAGGTGACAGAATCATTATGTCAGTTAAGGATGCCTACATTTATCTACTCTTATTTCCTTGAATAAAGTACGAAGAAAGTATGGGAATCATTACTTACTTCCAGACTAGTTTTGAAATATATAAAACAAAACTGATTAGCTCAAAAGTTGATTAGTATCATTCATTAGACGAATCATTATATTGGATGCTAATTCTAATAGTTGTAAAGTTTAATATCTGTTATTATTACTCGTTTGGGTTTCGAATGGAACAGGGCTTCAGCAACAATCTCCATTTCATCTTGTTCTCTAGAATTTCCCTTAAATTTAACTCAGTGACTCCGCATCAGCTGTCATCTCTTCCATGTCACACTAGGACACATGCCTAACTCATCATTTCGTTTAATGGTCCCCTCAGTGTGTGCCTACTCCACCTTCTTCAGTGTAAAGCCAGCAAATGAAGACAGCTATTGAAAGAAGGCTTGAAACCTGTTAGAAAGACTTTTATTGAAGGGTTAAGTCTATAAATCATAGAGAAGCGCACTGACGTCACATTAGTATTTAAAATTCAAATCTTTTTCCTTATACTGAGTGGAACAGATTGTAGCGTCGATTTCGAATTAATAAACGTTTGTGTTGCTTTTCTGCTCGTGTCTTTGATATCTTCACTCATGCCACCTAGAAAAGTGAAACAGATGACTTACTTTAGATTTCTGATGATGATAAAGATAGTGAATGGTGTCTTTCTTTGTTGTTGGCTAAAGTAAATATTCACCACTTATGTCTTCGCTATGTTCGCTTGATGTCATGTCTTCACTGGCTTTTTCTGTCAACTTACTGGTTGGTTTCTGCCTGTAGATCTTCGAATTTATGTGACATTAGAGTGGAAAACACCTCAGCGATTTCATTTTCAAAAGCTTTACAATCGAATTTAAATACATAATTTTACATGGATACAATTCTTGTTTGATTACACATAATTACGAAGTCGAATAAAAGGTGATAATTATCTTCAACTAGATATGGTTTTTACGAGAGACTAAGGAATAAAATTACACGGTATTATAGTGAATTACAGGCGTATAGAAAATGAGCATGGAAACAAAATTGAAATAATAATTTTCAACTTGAGATATCATGAAGTGGAGAATATCCAGCTCTTTAAAGAAGACTTTCCCTGCAGCAACACTAAGAGTGACATTCTCTAGCCGTCCAATACTTCGAAACAATGCGAAGGACAAACTCTCTCATATGACAAATTTAATGGGCATATACCAGTTCACCTGCTCCTGCAGAGCTAGGCACATAGGTCGTTGTATGAGCGTCCTTTCAAAACATGTTAGAGAACATTACCCAGCGTGGCTGCAAAAGAGAAGGCACCGGTTCAATCAGAAGTGACATTATTGAACATCTGATCAACACCTCCCACAACATCTCAACTTATTCATTCAAAGTAATTTATAAAGTCAACAAAAACCTTCCAAAAGCAATGTGTCTCCGACTTCTCTGTACTACAAAAGCCCTCACAATATGCATCGAGAAGCCGGAGCTGTGTGTTCGAAAGAAATTAGTCCAACCTCTACAACTACTATGTACCTAGCTCAGTGTGTTCCCTTTGCCTCCGTTTCTTTTTCGTTTGCTGTGTGTGTGATTCTCATTCTCTCTATCTTCTTTCAGTTCATCCCATTTTTCAGTTGTAAAAATAGTTATTTCAAGTTTGTTTCCATGCTTTCCTGTTCACAATTATAATTCGTTTAAAATAACTATTTTACAATTATATTCTAATCCTGTGTAATTTTTGTTTCACACCTCCTAACTTCCATTTCAAGTTGAAAATTATTATTCTAATTTTCTTTCATGCTCATTTTCTTACACACCTGTAATTCATTCTAATCCTGTGTAATTTTTCTTTCTCAGCCTCTCGTAAACCATATCTAGTTGAAAATAATAGTCATCTTTCATTTGCCTTCGTAATTATATGGAATCCAATTAAAAATTGTATCTGTGTAAAATTATGTATTTAAATGCGATGGTGAAGCTTTTGAAAATGAAATCCCCGAAAAAATATCTTTCCTGAACTTTGTGTTCCCTTCTTTCTAATGACATTAGAGTAACATCACATACAGTTTAGCATCTTCTAGTCGGTCCAAAGTTTGCTTATCTTCTCGCTCCCCACAGTCTGGCCCCACATGATACAGTCCACGACAATCAGGAATATTTAGAAGAGGCTCATATAGAGCCATTCCATAGTGAAACTGTGAACTTATTTGTTAGTGGTTCACTACACAACAGAAGTTGATAATTAGAGACTTCCGAGCATACGGAACATCACATTATATAACACAACACTATATCACAATAGTTTAGTATTCGGTGTTATCAGCGAAGCCAGCCTAGAATGATGACTTAACAAGTTGACTACGAATTCCACCCTTCCATAAAATGACATTTCTAACAGGTTTAATAGTTTTTTTTTTCAATTACCTCAACCACAATGTAATCTTTAAAAGCACGACACTCTGCAATTCCTCATCCTTACGCCATGGTTTGTTGGCGCACACTGGAATAATATTGGATAGCGCAATCTTTTATGTGGCTGCTCATCATAAATTCTTATAAATCTGTGGTAAATTAATTTTCCACCTTTAGATACGCACTACTGAATCAGACTTTTATCACCAGCTGCCATCGCCGACTTTATAGTGAAGATGTGAGATGGCCAGTCAGGAAGAATTAACAACCAAGGAACTCTGGCAACGTACCAACCAAGAAATTATAACCTGACAAATATGTTGAAGAAAATGGAGACGGATAGGATTCGCGTTCAGGAGACCGTTGAGTGACATCGCGTACCAAACAGGACCATTAGTGAAACCTGAAAAGGAAACGACAAGTTGGACCTGGGTCTGAGCCGGAGATGAGAGCCTATGACCAATTGTGAAGTCAACTAAAAACGACAGCAGTAAACGAGATGAAATGGAGACATTCTATTGGAGTCCTATGTTCCTCTTGGAACCTAGGGGAGAGATAATAATTATGATAAGTGAATCCCTAATATGGACTGTTACACCATCTGTTTTGACCTGTGTGCAACTGGGGACCTATGAATTATTGTTCACATAAAAACACTATTGTAATAGGAATACAATGCATCAACATGTATGAAAACAAGGAGAAATTAAGACAAACCAGTCTGCATAATTATAGAAAATGTACCATAAAATAGGACAGTTGACGTATTACAATATAAGGATAATAAGGCACAGAAAAATAACAATCGGACAATTTAGGCATAATGCATATAATGTTAGAGGCATAACTCTTATCCAACCATGACACATTTTCACATACCTGAGTATCCAAATTTAATTTACACGAAGGACAGGTGAGAACTGTTCCTAACAACGATAAATAACCACTACAAAAAGAAAACAAAATGGTTTACACTCATATCAAATCAAATCGATAATGTATGGAGGATTTCATCATGAGCTGACATCAGTTAGAGAACCACTGGAAAACCTGGGAGGACTGGACAGCTGTTTCATCCTAGTTCGGGACTCTTCAGCAGTATGCACCCGTCGGGATTAGAACCCAGGACTTTCCGGTTACAAGGCGAGCTCGTAGACCATTAAGCCACTGAGACCGGACCCGATGGTCCTTGAATTCTAACTTCTGACAATTCACGACATGGCGCGACCATTTCGCAATGTTTTCTCAGATGAGTTATTGCCTCGTCTTCAACCTGCTGTACCCTACTGGACACGGCTTCCCACTAGAACTCCAGGTCACTGCCTGAAGATGAGGCAGTAACTCATCGAAGAACACATTGCGAAATGGTCGCGGTATGTCGTGAATTGTCAGAAGTTAGAATTCAAGGACCATTGGGGTCGGGTCTCAGTGGCTTAGTGGTCTACGAGCTCGCCTTGTAACCGGAAAGTCCTGGGTTCGGACCCTGTCGGTGGGTGCGTACTGATGGAGAGTTTCAAACCAGAACGAAACAGTCGTTCAGTACTCCTAGGTTTTCCAGTGGCTCTCTAACGGATGTCAGCTCATGATGAAATCCTCCATGGAATCAAACAAAAATCCCTGCAAAACCAATACTTGCAAATTGATAAATGCCTGCGTAAACTACACTTCATAGAAGTAAGAAATCCGATTATCACATGAATGATGTCTCCATATTGGCTTCGCAATGAAATGGATAATCTCTCGATGATCACTTCGAAAAGTCTACGTACAAAACTGTGAATAAGTTTTGCGATTCAGGTAATATAAGAAGTGTATCTTATTGGAGTTAACTATTTATGAATCGATTTTGGAGACGATTTAAATTTTCTGTCTACTTTAGTAATTTGTATCAAATATAGTTTGACAGGTAGGATATCATTTACTCAATATAAGCAATAGTTACTCTATCACAACATAAATATCTTTTGTGATTCCTTTTCCATTCTATCACACCTCTGAATATATAGGTATTCATATCTAACAGTATCTCTGAAACATCTTTGGGAAATCACGTCATGTTTATGCGTTGAAATCAACACTCGGGCATAAGGGACAACTTCGGTGTAGGGTTTTAATAATAACATCAACAGTTGAACAGTTTCTAGACAGGCTATACAAGTCACTTGGCGTCAAACTGCACTATAGGTAATTACTAACTAACAATTTTACATAAATTGTTTTGTTATTGTTAGGACACAAACTTGTTACATTATGGGTACCAAAATATGTGCCTCACAAAATCTCATAGTTTCCACAAGAGCTGAAATACTGCCCAGAAGATCTTGAAAGGTCATCCACACCTCACACCAAACTTTTGACTTAAAGTCTGATCTATAAGGCAGAGGAGTAGCGTTCCAATGGTTTCCAGTGCCCGACCGAAAGCTGCTACCTTGACGTGGTGGTCGGGCTTGAACACCGCAATGACCTAATCAAGCTATACTGGCTGAGACTTATGTCTCTTGAGGTTCTACCATGCCAGGCAGGTTGTTTGGATAGCGGTTAAACAAAAAGCAGCTACCCATCCAATACCATGATCCAAACAAATTCACAAAATTTCATGCCGGATCGGCCGTGGCCCGGATTAACAACGACCGCGCTTCCTGCTGCCGTGTCACAGGGCGGAGTGATAAGTATGCTACTGAGGCACACCAAACAAAAGAGAACAAACAAAAACAGGCCGCGTGTGACCGGCCTCAAGCAGTTGTCCCCTGGGCTCTGCGGTCACGCAACCAACTTCCACGGTGTGGGCAGCCGGGAAGTAACAATCGCCCTCACAATCCGAAATGCACACAAAACCTCTCTAATCCTCACTTATCTTTGTCTTCATCTTCATCTCTATTACCTTACCTTCCTCCCACTGATGCAACTCCTCTACTTGATGGCTCCTCACTCCCTCTTCACTCTGTGTCCACTAAAAACGACGAAAGCCAAAAAACCACCACCGATAGTCTCCTAAAGCCACGCCACCAATTTCATATAGGAGCATTTAATGTTAGGACACTTTGCCAAATAGGACAACAAGCATCACTAGCTAAGACCCTGGCATCTCGAGCCATTGATGTATGTTGTGTTTCAGAAACACGCATACAAGACCCAAGTGTGGTTATTCACCTAACCCCACCTGGCCAACAGGATGAATCTTCAAAATTCACCTTGAGGGTGTCAGGAGATGCCACAGCTAGTTCACGAGGATTAGCTGGCGTAGGGATAGCTTGAGTACTAGGGCAGAAAAGACATTGCTTGACTGGATCCCGTAGATAGCCGAATGTGTGCTGTCCGTCTGAACGGATCAGTAAGAAGGAGAAAGGACTGCACTACTCGCCGATGCCTTTTCGTAATCTCCGCCTACGCCCCCACTGACTGCAGTTCGGATGAAACGAAGGATGAGTTCTACCAAAAGCTGTCTAGTTTGGTGAGAAAGGCTAAACGCTCAGATATAGTCGTTCTAGCTGGTGACTTTAACGCTCAAGTAGGGAAATTGTGTCAATCTGAGAAGGATGTCGGTGGCACCTATGGAGTTCCGTGCCAGCGAACCGACAACGGTGACCGTCTCCTACAGTTCTGTTCAGATAATCATTTGTTTCTTGTAAGCACTAACTTTAAACACAAGGAGAGACACTGTTTAACCTGGCGACCCCCATCATCAAACCAACGCTGGACACAAATAGACCACATAGCAATAAGCTATCGTTGGCGTGGGTCGGTAGGAGATTGTCGCTCCTTCTGGAACACGTGTGTAGATACCGATCACGCACTGGTCCGGGCTCGTGTGTGCTTACGACTGAACGGACGTAGGAAACAGCTGGCGGTAAAACCATCACGTCCCCAGCTCGATCAGGAAACTAAATCCCTATTTGAGGAAGAACTAGCTAAACGCATATCTGTATTCGACAGCTGTGCTCACCCTGGAGAAGCCTGGAAGAATATTCAGTCAGCTATAGATACAGCTGTAAAAGCTGTGAATAAGGCAAATCCAAAGGTGAGTAAAAACCACTGGATTTCGACTGCCTCATCCGAACTGATAGATGCTAGAAGACTTATTCCGGCGAGCTCCGAATTCAATGAGGAGCGAAAGCTGCACAAAAGGAAACTTACTAAAAGTCTCCGCAAGGACCGTGAACAGTGGTGGGTGACAAAGGCGAAAGAGATGGAAAAAGCATCGGCGATAGGCAACACTAGGCAACTCTTTAGACTCATCAGGAATCGGGTGGGAGAAGGCAATTCATAAGTGAGACTATTTCTGAGAAAAATGGCTCCTTAATTAGCTCTCAGGATAGACGCCTTGAACGCTGGAAAGAACACTTTGAGGAACAATTTAACTTGCCTACAGCCACACTGAACCTCCCCGCCATCCAACACACCCGAATGGGATATAGACACTGGTCCGCCGTCTGTAGTGAGGTTACAAAAGCTATCAGTAATTTGAAACGAGGCAAAGCGGCAGGACCCGACGGAATTATTCCGGAGGTGTTTAAATATGGGGGTGACATACTAGTTTGTAGATTAACTGAGGTACTAGGCAAAGTCTGGGAATCAGAGACAGTACCATCAGACTGGGGTAAGTCACTTATTATACCGATATTCAAGAAGGGAAACAAGTCCTCGTGTGATAATCATAGGGGGATCAGCCTAACGAACATAGTCTCTAAAATCCTAGGCTCAGTAATCATGCATAGACTAAGCAGAACTCGGGAGGAACAGACAAGGGAAAATCAAGCAGGCTTTAGACCAGGTAGAGGGTGCATAGATCATATCTTCACTCTTCGACAGATTCTAGAACATAGACACACTTTTCGGCGTCCAACAATTGTCATATTTCTTGACTTGAAGGCGGCCTTCGACTCCGTGGATCGAAAGGTACTATGGCAATGTCTGACTGTGAAGGGAGTGCCAAGAAAGTACATTGCACTAATCAAGGCACTCTATTCAAACTCACGTAGTCGTGTAAGGGCTTATGGGGAATTGTCATCTGAATTGGTAACAACCAGTGGTGTCCGACAGGGATGTCCACTTTCCCCATTTCTGTTTAACTTCATCATAGATATGCTGATGGAAGTATCCTTAACTGAACGTAATGACTTAGGAATCGACTTGTTACCAGGGAATAATCTTATGGACTTAGAATATGCAGATGACATAGTCCTGTTAGGGGAGGATGCTGACAAAATGCAGAGTCTTCTGAACACCTTGAGCAGCAATCTTCGTATGTTTGGCATGCGATTCGCCCCTGCAAAATGTAAGATGCTGCTACAGGACTGGACCACGTCAACCCTAACTTAGTGATAGGGAGTGAAGTGATAGAACATGTTGACCACTTCACCTATTTGGGAAGTTGTATTAGCACCAACGGACTGATTGGCGATGAAATCTCAGCACGGATCCGAAAAGCTCGAGCTGCTTTCGCTGACTTACACCATCTCTGGCGTAGGCGTGACATCCGGTTATCAACCAAGGGACGTGTGTACTGCTCATCAGTTCGCTCCGTCCTTCTCTATGGCTCTGAAACATGGCCAATACGCGTTGAAGACATGAAAAGGTTGACTGCTTTCGATCATAGATGTCTGCGATCTCTGTCTCACGTTAGGTGGTTTAACAAGGTAAGTAATGTTGACGTTAGGCGTAGAGTGTTGGGCAAAGAGGGAAAATCAATCGACGAGGCTATAAAGTTACATAGACTAAGATGGCTAGGTCACGTGCTGCGCATGCCTAACCACCGCCTCCCCCGACGGGCATTGCTAGCTGATATAGGTTCAGGTTGGAAAAGAGCCAGTGGTGGCCAAACAAAAACATGGCATCAATCCATGAAATCCTTGACAGTTAAACTGAGTCAGGTAGGGAGATGCAGACTCCCGGGTTGGGGCCCTCGGGACTCTAGGAATCAATGGCTGGAGACAATAGGTGACATGGCTCAAAATCGTTGTCAATGGCCAGCGCAGATGTATTCAGTCTCTGTAATCTTTCATATTCCTTTCTACCATTACCCATTCTGTTTCACTCTTATACTTGTCAAACTCTATTGATTCTCTTCACTCATCTTCTTGTCTACCTCTGTGTGCTATTTGGAACGTGGCAACTCGAACTGCTGCACTTCGGTGCCAAGTTCTATGTTGAATCCAGACAGACAGAGACAGACTCATACACTATTCTATCCCTTCAGATTCTGCAGCCCATGTACACTACAGAATGTCCACTAGTCCAATTGTAAGCGATAGATGTTCGAATTTATCCTTTCACTTTTGTGAGGAACACCCCACCGCTTGATAGGACTTACCTGACAGAGGCTATGAACACTTGGCCAAATGACGGTATTTCGAGAGGAAGGCCGAAACCTACCCACTTTCGGCAGTAACAGATCGTTTATGGAGGCATTTCTTTTTCACTTATATAACCCTTATAATTTGATAAAGATATTCAATTAAATCGCCGTGTACTGAATGCAAGCACCATCTGATATAATCCTCTAATATTTCCCACGTTTTATGCTATCCTATATTAATATTTATAAAATCATATACGTAAAAATAAATAAATAACTAATTTCGCTACTCACTTTCGGCATATAGGACAGACTACTGGATTCTCATCATTCGTATGACAAAAATTTTCTACACAATTATCTGGATTAATCCAAAATTCTGGATTTAAATAATCATCAATTTCTAAAATAGAAATTATATATTTACCAAAATGTTAAGAGAATTAGTGAAAACAGAATGTTTAGTCAAATGTTAACGCATGTAAGGCAGACATTCATGAAGTCCACTGATACAAAATGGTCAATGAACCGAGCGACACGAACTCACCATTTAAGTTGTTATAAATAATAATACATGCTATTAAGTGTTTGCAAACGGTAGGACTAAACTACACGGACTTTTAGCTTAAAGACAGGAAGTGAAGTGGTTGGATATGTTGACCAACGGGTTGATCGCTGACAAGATCTCATCGCGAATACAGAAGGCTCGTTTGGTATATTCCAACCTACGCCACCTCTGGCTTAATAGATGTGGTATCCGGCTGTCGACCAAAAGACGTATGTATTGCGCAGCAGTTCACTTTGTCTTCCTTAATGGCAGTGAGATATGGACAGTGAACGAAGCTGCCTTTTACCAATAGATATTTCCACTCTATTTTTCATGCCAAGCAGTATAACATGATGAGTGGTATTGAGTTTGGGCACAGACTGCTATGTTAAGAAGGAAAGTCAATTGATGCGTTTGTGAAGCGGAGAGATTTAAGAAAAAAGACTGGATGCATCTGCGCTAATGAGCAATATCAATAATAGTCTCCGGCTATTAGTTCTTAGCAACCTGATGACCCCAAACAAGCAGTCTACACCTTCCCATATTGCTCAAAACAACTGCCAACGACTTTAAAGGTTAGTTCAGCCTCGTAACCTTAACGGCTGACCTGTCCCCCCTTACCTAGTAATCTACGCCTAACATTGATATCGCTCGTCCCATTATACCATTTGATACGTAGGACGGAACGCAAACACCTATGTTCAGAGACAGTTAACCTTTTCGTATCTACCACTTTCAATGGCCATTTCTCACAAACATGAAGGAGGATGGAACAAACTGTTGCACAGTACATACGTCCTTTGATATCACGCTTACGCCAGAGATGACGAGCCCTTTTGCATCCGTACTGACAGTTTGTCAGCAATTATTCCATTAGAAATGGCGTAAATTACCAAATAAGTGAAGTGGTCAACGCATCTAACCATTTCACTCCCTATCTTTAATCTAGAAGTCAGTGCAGTCCAATCCTGCAGTATCAGCTTACATCTGACATGAGCGAATCGTTTGTCAGACATTAGAAGATTTCTGCTCAAGGTGTTCAGAAGACTGACGCCATACTTCAATGATAAAATGAATGCTAGCCCAAGTGTAAAATTTAGGCAATGCACTAGAAGAACATAATTCCATATTAGATAATTTTACTTGGTATAACACATAGTGATATAGTATTAATAATTGAATGACACTTTGAGCACAATTTATTCCTCATAGTAATATCATTGTATTTACACGGTTTCATAACTTCCTGTATATGAAGCCGTGCAAATACACCGGTATGACAGTGAGCAATAAACTGTGCTCGAAACGTCATCCAAATAGTAATACTGAATGAATACTAATCCGTTGGCTAGCAGATGGTGACTGGGAGAGAAAATTAAAGGATTTTAACAGACACATTTCGAAAGAGAAATATTCCAGATAATAATATTATTATTTCCTTTAATTCCCAGAGGAACATAGGGCTTCAGCTGCACGTCTCCTCATCTCCTCTTCATATGACCTCCTCCAAGTCACCCTTGCATTGACGACCAACTCGCCGCTTCCCTTTCGGGTTCCACTCGAGCAATGGCTTGTCTAGTGATGCCAATTGATGGTTTGTTTTCTCAGAGTACGGCCAATCCATCTCCATTTCTTCCTGCTTATTTGTTGCATAATCGGTTCCGGGTTGGTTCGTTCATTGCCAGAGATCCCTGTTGCTGATTTTTTCTGGTCGGCCATCTGATCTTGAGTATTGAGTGAAGACAACTGTTAATGAAGGTCTGAAGTTTGTTTGAGGTGCTCTTTATGATGCGCCAGGTCTCTGATCCATAAAGTAGAAATGACTGACCGTATAGTAGCACTGACTTCACAGTGGAGTTGAAAATCCGGATCTTATTTTTGATACTGAATGCTGCTGACCCCCACACAGACTTAAGAATAATGAAAGCTTGTTTTGCTTTTCCAATTCTTGCTTTGATATCCTCGTCAGTTATGTCCACCTGTAGTTGAAACGATGCTTCCCAGGTCGGTAGGTAGGTAAAAGAGGGTGCTTCTTTCAGGTTCCTCTCATTTATGCCTACTGATTGTTGTCTGTTGTTGTTGCTGTCGCTGTTGGCCAGGAATCTTCATCACCTCTGTTTTCTCTATGTTCACCTGAAGTCCTATCTTCTCTGGATGCTTTTTCTGCCAACTTGTTGCTTTTCACTTGCATATCTTCCAGTTTGTGGGTGATCAGACATATATCATCGGCGAAGTCTAGATCCTCCAAGTTTTTTGTGTGGGTCCATTTTATACTTGGTTCCTCATTACCCGCTGTCTGTCGCATTATCCAATCTACTGCAATCAGGGAAATCATTGGCGATAGTAAGCAGCCTTGCCTTACTTCCGTCCTCACTTCGATTATTATTATTATTAGTATATATTATTCCAGATAATATATATATATATATATATATATATATATATACAATGACGCTGACCTGTTGATAATTCGTCCAAAACTCTGTCTTGCAGTTCGATTAAACTATCCACATCTAATTGTTCTGTCTGTTTAAAAAAAAGATTTAAAAAAGGATATAATGAATAACTTCAATTCACACCGAAAAAGAAAACATTGATCAGTACAGTACAAGTTGCTCAATCACACTGAACAACCTCTTGCATAGTCAAGCAGTTGGCAATGAGTCACACCCATTGAGCTAATGATACCACTTGGCTACTCAAACCTCGATAGATGGAAAGAGTGTTCGAACTCATAATCCTACGGTTAGAGGTTTAGCGCCTGAACTAGTGAACCACGGCTCGACATACAGCACATCAAGACTACCAAAGCAAAATGAGCAATCATTATTTAGAGTTTCATTTATCTGGGACAGATTTTTCGCATACCAGACTTTAAGCCATGCTAAGCAACATTACGGAGCAATGGAAATTGTCGTTAGATGTCAACAGTTAATTGTTACGAAATCTAGGTAATATATTTTCCACTTGTTGGTGCCCACTAGCTAAGCGTATCCACAATCTTTTGGTCTAATTGAATTTGAGATTTTCCCGTCGATTAATTGCACCGAATTTCTCGGTCTCAGGTTGACATATCGTCTTCTTGTGCAGATACTTCAACGATGTCTGGGCATTTAATTAGGATTTAATTTGTGGATGGTGACTAACAGTGGAATCCAGGATAAAGCGCATTTCGTCCTGTTTGGGACTCGTCAGTTGGAACGGCCCACTGCACAAGAGATAACTCTCGTGGTCCAAGTGGTCTAGTGGATAACGCTCTGGCGTTTGCAACTAAGGGCACTGGGAACATCGTCGCTCACTGAGAAATGCAGGTACATCCAGATGATGAGCCCCAAAGTAGGACGAAATGTGCATCCTGGATTCCACTGCTAGTCACCATCTACAAATTAAAATCTTTTGGTGTGTTTATGCCACAACTACACAAAAGGTACAGATGAATCGGAAACTGGATAGAGATCATTAGTAATAGTGTGAAACTTTACTCGGTCATACCGTTAGAGCTTCTACACTGATTCTATATCATCTATCAATGACAGGCAGTTAAGAAGATTTCTATATTCAACAGATATATGTAGAAACGAATGTTCACATAGAATGTGACTAACTGACTGGTTTCAACGTAGAACTTTGCACTGATCTGCAGCGATTCGAGTTGCCATACTCGACATAGCACACAAAGCAAGAGAAGAGAGTAAAAGAGAGATTCAAAAGAGAGATAAACAGAAGTGGGAAAGGAGAAAAAACCCAGTAATATGGAAGGACAACAGAGCTTTATTGGATATTGTAAATCACAAACAGTGAAATGCATCTGCGTTAGCCATTGAGAACGATTTTAAGCCATATCACCAATTGTTTCTTGCCATTGGTTTTTATAATCCCGAGGACCCCGACTAACCAGGAAATCTACACCTCCCTACGTGACTGGTTGGTTTAAACTAACTGTTGTGGATTTCAGTGACTGATGAGGCCATGTTTTGGTTTGACCACCACTAGTTTTCTCTTTTCCAAGCAGATCAATCAGTTAACATTGTACGTCGAGGAAGGCGATGGCTAGATATGCTCCACACATGTCCTAACCATCTCAATCGATGTAACTTCACAACCTTGTCGACTGATTTCCTCTCTTTACCTAGCACTCGACCGAAGCCTAACCTCAATATTGCTCAACCTATTATACCACCTGACACGACAGATAAAACGTAGACACCTATGATCAAAGACAGATAGCTCGCCTTTTCATGTCTTCCACTCTCAATGGCCACGTCTCACTCACGGCCATAAAAGAATGTACTAATTGTTAGTAGTAGTTATATGGACAACATTCCCTTCATTCTAACGAGATTAATCAACTCTACAAGCACATCTGCATAATCCACATGTATATATAATTAGTGTCATACAACTCAACTGGCATACATTACTGACATTTATCTGTTGTTCACGTGTAAGCTAGAAAAACAATGATAACTTAAAATGTATCTTGTACTGATACCAGGAGTCTGAAATTAAAAAAATGTAAATTTTAAGTCCCTCGATCGTAAAGTAGAGTTTACGTTTCAAATTTAGATTTATGCATGAACAACTAAGAAAAGGACAGATCGAGGAGGATAAAATTTCGGTGGTTATTATCAGCATATCTGAATATATTTCAAGAAACTTGCATCTGAAGCGTGCAAAATTCCTTAGTAGTAGTCCTTAATCCTTACCACCTGTTAGATAGCGGTTACGAAATCGCTGCATTGTTATCCTTTAAGGATAAGTAAAGTTGAAGTCAGCTCCAGATTGCTACGTATCACTAAAGCGATTACCATTAAACGATTGAAATCAACTTTATGCCATTCAAAAGGAAACCGTTGTTAATCTCGCCTTACCTTAGTAAATATACTTAATATACGTTATTTAATTGTTTCTTTCGTTAATTTTGTTATTTTATCTATTATATTCTTGACCTGACCTCTCTTTGACCTATGCCCAACTAAATTATTTGACCTTTACATGAATGTATTGATTTTATACCTCTATTCAGTTTGTAACATTCGTTCGCAACTCTAGAATATTTCTTGGTTATCACTATGAATAACAATGAGCTTAACAGCGACTTTTATTCTCTTCCAAATATGTTACTGAATCACGTGATACTAATATCCATCATCTTTATGACCAATAACTACACTAAACTGGAGGATGGTGACTAGCAGTGGAATTTAAGATGCACATTTCGTCCTGATTTAGGGCTCGTCGGCTGGATGTACTTGCAATCACCAGTCAGTGAGTGATAGTGTTCCCACTGAGGGTCGAAACCAGTACCCATAGTTTCAAATACCACTAGATCACTTAAGCCCCCTCTTTCTTGTGCAACAGGTGTATCAGTAATTATTTAATTCAATTTGCACCTTCCTATTGATTGATTGAACCCAAGTGCTCAGCCTTAGGTTAAAACATGTCGAGTCCTTGTGCAGATACTTCGACTGATTAATGTAGTATTTGAATACATTGTTCATGGCTGTACGCAGCTGATGAGATCTAACGAAGTATAACGCGATTGTATCTTGCTTAATGTGTTCTTCTTGCTTTGCTCAAGTTTATCAAGGGAAATAACTGTATGGGATAGATTTATAGTGTTATGTGAACGTGATAATTTTATCAGACAATTTTCGATCACATACAACTTATCAGATTAAGTTGATCTCCCACTGATCGAATGTAACTTTATGTGTATTTGGTTTAAATATATATATGGTGTTTCTGATATGGGTGTGTTCTCTGAACTAAGTGGTCTAATAGCTGAGCTTCCGTCGCCTTTCTAGACAACACCTTCAAGTGATCGATTTCCATCTCAAGGGTATCAAAAATTTCGAAAACTCACTGCGCATTTAAGTAGGCGCTGAAGATGTTGCTTGTAAAGACAATAAAAGCTTCGCTATTCAACTAACTATCCAGCTCAGAGAACACAATCACATCAAAGTATTCCCCCTGAGCTACAAATCCTATCCATTTTTGTCTAATGAATGTGTCCTTACAGTCATAGCGCCGCTTTCGTCATTTGTGTACATTCTTGTAGCTCAGTGAAGCAGAAGGTATTCACCGGGAGAATAATGATCTTCTGGTGCTGAGGTACATATTTGCATTCAGTATCATCAAGCCCAAGCCATAACCCACTGGTTCGTACAGTGTATCTTGACGCCTACAACAATATGAAGTACTTTAAAAGCCACAACAAAGGTGCCTCAAACGCCATTCTACTTTATTGCTACCCATTAGTCTTTCCTGGGCTACTGAAAAAGGACCATACCATCCTGAGAAGGATGTTGAAGGTTGTTAGTAGGGCTAGTGGTGTAAAACTCAGTCAGCTCGTCTCTACATTAGTAGATAAGCATCTGAATACATGCGAAAAATGGTCTAAAACCGACCCCCAACACCCCCCTATTCCCGACTCTCTCCTTGTATCTCATCAGGTAGAACCAGAAACCAGTACAAAATAAAATATGCTCGTACAACCAAGTAGAGGAACTCAACGAGGCGATATTTGGCCCGTGTTCTAAGTGACAGAGACAATGTTAAGCGTGAAACCTATGACTTGCTTTGTTGTTAATAACATAATTTCGGCTCTTTTATTTTTCTCTTATTTGTATTCGATAGTGAACACCTTCTTAAACATACTTAGATCCCTAAATTATTAATATTGGCTTACGTTTTTATACTTTATTCTATTCCTTCTTTCGTGTATCTACTGGTTCGGACTATATTAGCACTACGAGTATTACAAAATTGTCCTGTCATGAACCTTCATGTAATATTAGTTTTGTGGTTGTTTTTTGTTCGGCAATATTAAACTGACAATCTTGGTTGTGAATGCCATTATCACCATCTTAAAAACTTTGTATTATGCAGGATTACCCACAACCTCGCCTAGATTAGTAGCCCGCTAGCTTTCTTGCCGTTCCCAGGCACGGATAAAGAGATAGGGTTGGGGCATGGTGCTAGCAACTCCACCCTTGTAAAACAACCAAGTTGCTACAGAAACTTCAACTCGCAAATATATTAAAAACTCTAAAAATATAAACAATAGCCTTATTTTTCGCTGGAATCGGATAGCCAGTCAGCCGATGTGCCTTCTTTCGATGAAAGCAAAAATAAGGACGGGAACGTGGAATGTTCGTACAATGTACGAAACTGGAAAGGTTTCCCAGGTAGCCGCTGAAATGAGAAGGTACAGAATAGAAGTGTTGGGAATCTACGAGAGCAGATGGAACGGATGTGGTAGGTGCCAACTACCAACTGGAGAGACAATAATCTATTCCGGCCACCCAGAGGACAACCACGACCACACCGAGGGAGTGGCCATCATGATGTCACCAACAGCAACCAAAGCTCTCATGCAGTGGGAACCAATCTCCTCCAGGATAATGACAGCTAGGTTCAACTCAAAAGTGAGGAAAGTTACAGTCATTCAGTGCTATGCGCCTACAAACGTTTCAGAACAAGCGAAGAAGGAGGCGTTCTACAGACAACAACAAGCAATAATGGACAAAGTCCCAAATGGCGATATCAAAATACTGATTGGCGACATGAATGCGAAGCTGGGAGGAGACAATACAGGAAGAGAACTCACCAAGGGTTGTGAGGCCCTCGGCGAAATGAACGACGATGGTGAACTCTTCTCGGACTTCTGCACCTTCAGTGATTTGGTGATTGGTGGCAGTGTGTTCAAACACAAGGATATACATAAGGCGACATGGATTTCACCAGATGGAAACACCAAAAACCAAATAGACTTCATCTCAATCTCAAGAAAGTGGAGACGGAGCCTACTGGACACAAGGTCGAGGAGAGGAGCAGATGTGGGTTCAGACCACTATCTAGTAGAAGGGACTTTCAAGGTGAAACTAAAAGCCTCGAGGATAGCTGGGGATAGGCCACAATGCAAGTTCAACACTCGATTACTTAAGGACACAACCACAAAGGACACTTCCACTGCAACTGTCAGAGCAAAGCAGGAAACACTACGTGACATCACTGAAGAATCATGCGTGGAAGAACATTGGAAGTTTCCGAAGGCGATTCTCAACGAAACGTGTTCAACGGTTCTAGGAAGAAAGAAGAGACAAGACAAGGAATGGCACTCAACGGACACTTGCGAGCTAATAGAGGAGAGGAGAATGGTGAAAGAGAAAATGATTCAATGCAAGGACGGACAGGAGAAGGAGACGATGAGCTCAACTTACACAACACTGGACAAAGAAGTAAAGAAGAGTTCTAGGAAGAACAAAAGACGATTCTACGACAACCTCGCCACTCAAGCTCAGAAGGCAGCAGGCAAAAGGGACCTGAGGACAATATATCAGATAAACAAGTATGTATCCGGGAAGAGACAAACAAAAGTGAAACCTATAGAAGAGATTCAAGGGAACCCAATTACCAAGGAAGAAAAACAGATTAAACAATGGGCCGATCACTTCAAAGGACTCTTGAACCGACCATTACCTGCAACCCGTCCAGAAATACCAACAACAGAGCTCACACAACTGCAAGTTGACACCAATCCTCCAACGAGAGGTGAAGTCCTGAACGCAATCAAACTTCTGAAAGCTGAAAAAACAGCCGGACCAGATGGAATACCCCCTGAAGCACTGAAAGCAGACCCAGAGACGACAGCAGACATGCTGACTCCATTATTGCAAAAGGTCTGGAAGGAGGGAAAGGTGCCTACTGACTGGAGGAAAGGTTACCTCGTGAAACTACCAAAGAACGGCGACTTACGCCCCACTCTGCAAGAACTGGCGAGGAATCATGCTCCTATCGACGCCAAGTAAAATCCTGAGTCGCATCATACTGGGGAGAATAAAGGACGCACTGGATACACAACTCCAACCAGAACAAGCTGGATTCAGGAAAGGCAAATCATGTCCTGACCAAATTGCAACTCTGAGCATCATCATCACAGAACAAAGCATGGAATGGCAATCAAACCTCTACCGCAACTCTATAGACTTTGAGAAGGTTTTCGACAGCGTTGACCGCAAAGTAATTTGGAAATTACTCGAGTACTATGGCGTACCCCAAATATTCATCAACCATATACAACAGCTGTACGACAACGGACTCTCGCCGACCATGCACATGGTTTGAGGTTCGATCCCCTGCCGACGCACACCTGACATCTATGGTCGGCCTGCAAAATTTGGGCTACCGGTATCCATGCTGAAAGTTCCACACATGCACCAAAAATACAGTGTGGAATCTGTTATGTACTCGTCGACAAATTATTGTTATGGACTGGTCGAGAAACTAATAGTCCTGACGCAAGAAGGCGGAAATCAGAAGACCACTAGGTTTGCGATGATACTTCTATTTTCCAAACACAAGGAGAAGCAATAAGTGGTATCACACCAAAAATAAGTAAGTGGTGTAAGTGTAAGTCACACAAATTGTGAATGCGATATATATATATATATATATATATATATATATATATATATCAAAATATAGCAGACATGTCAACAGCCTCCAAAGCCTCAGGATGGTCGGGGGTGGGTGCCTTGCACTGCGGGTTGGCCACCCCTCCGCACACCTCTTGAAATGCTCCCATATGACCGGGCGTCTTACATAGCCTCTCCTGAGGAAGTCCTACTCACTGCCTTCACGTGGCGGAGGTGTTTCTCACCAAAGTGAGAGGGCGAAAGCGGATGCCCGGCGCTCCCCACCGGGTTGACTGTCCATTGGATGACAGTCTAGGGGAGATGGCTAAACCCTCATTCCAAACCTCCAACGACTGGCGTATGAAGCTCACTGGAGCTCACCGGCAGACGTATGGACAAATGGCTTGTTGGATGTCCTGGATGTCTGGCCCCATTCAAAAAGGCGTATGAACCGAACTCCGGTCATCGGCTGCCAATGGATAGTGGACTCCTTACTCCACTCCTACTGCCTTGTAGTTCACACTTGGCTGTGTAAAGGCTAGAGCTGCACTCTCAAACAAAAGGCCGAGCGATGCTGGGGACATCACTCGTACCAAATTCCCATGAAACTTCATGAACTCTCTTACAAATTGCCGCGCCTGGGCAGCGATGATTCGAAACGTTCATGAAGCCGGCTCATCCTCCCGTAGGAGATAGCCGAAGTAAAGTAAAGTAAGTAAGTAGACATGTCAACAACCACAACATATGGGTATATGTCACTAAGCTACGGACTGTCAACAAACAACACTCATATTATATATAATATAATATAAGGAGAATATACATTGTTAAAGGAGACAAGTTCATACAAGTGAAATGGTCACAGACTAAGCGAGCAAACAGAGAGACCAACATACACACACACACATAAATATATACATGTGGATACATATCAGAATCAAGCTGTAATCAAAAATGAAAATAAATAAATACACTTACTTCACTATCAGCAATTAGACTTTTTAAAAGTTCACGTTTCTCTTGAAGAAGTATTTCATCTGATAAATTTGTCGGTTCTGAATTGTGAATATTTCTCAAATGATCAATAAATTCAGTTCGTTTTGACTTCATAGCCTCCATAAAACGCTATTTATTTTTTACAAAAAAAATTTTTGAAAAATGGGGAGGGGGGTTGAGTCAATTTTTTCTTCACTTAAAATGCATTCAAAGTCTTGAATAATACTTTACAAGAAGTTTATAACATAAAAAAATGATGGAATGAAAAAATTGACTCAGTTACTTAATCACACCGATATTGGATACAGTACGCATTAAAGAAAAATTGCCAAAGATGTATGTCTAGAAATTCGACTGATTCTGTGAAGCTGGATGGTTATATGCATCGTACTCAGAGGAATTTATCTTTACACACTCGTGAACATGATCCATACCAGCTTGGAAGAGGAGTAACCAAATCAAAAAGTAGTGTCATTTTATCGCATTATCTAGTGGATAGTGGACACTGCATCACAATCAATGAACCATTTACTGTTGAACGTCAAGTACCAAACCATTTCACCTGAAGGTACATGATTACGTCACCCAGCCATAGCTGAAGCTACAGAGATTAATAGAAATTAACCTCACCTTTGTGTGGCCTACTAAAAAGTCATCGTGGACGTAATCATATCATATTTTCTATTCCTTTCCACCTCAGTTTACTTTACACCATTATTATTTATCAACCTTTGGCACTACACTAAATCTATCGTGTCCCGATTACTATTTAATCAACGAAGGAAAATCAGAAAGTAATTGTAGAAGTAGTAGTAGTTTTGAAATTTTGACTAACAGTCAGAGATTTCAGCCTTGACGGACTTGTGATGTAGCCTGACTTTACACTCTCGACTTTTACTCAGATTCTTATCCAGATTATCTAGAGTTACCATTAGAGTTTACAATTGATATATTGAAATTAACCAATGAAGCAATATTTTTTGTATAGAAGATTTCATCATGAGCTGACATCAGTGGGAAGCCGTGACCAGTAGTAGTTTACAGCAGGTTGACGATGAGACAGTGACTCATCGAAGAAGACATTGCGAAATGGTCGCGCTATGTCGTGCATGAATTGGCAGAAGTTAGAATTCAAGAACCATTGGATCGGGTCCCAGTGGCTCAATGGTCTACAAGCTCACCTTGTAACCAGAAGGTCCTGGGCTCGAATCCCGGTGGATGTGTACTGCTGAAGGATTCCAAACTAGGACGAAACAGCCGTCCAGGACTCTCAGGTTTCCCAGTGGTTCTCTAACTGATGTCAGCTCATGATGAAATCCTCCATACATTCAAACAAAATCCCTACAAAACCAATACCCGAAAAAGCAATATTTCGTGCTCAGATATAATTTCGAAGTTTTAAATTGAAGCTAGTGGATACATGGTAATGCATGAATTCAATGTTGTAATTCGACTCAGTATTCGAATTGAAAAAAAGACTAAGGTCGAGAGTTTGTGCTACAATAATAAGAAACATTTAAAAAAAGGTGACAGTTATTATAGATTGCTTGCTGGTGCGGTAACGATACACACACAACTGAAGAGAACCGATGAAACAAAATGGATCCATGTTCATTCTACCTGCTGTTTCAGTGATTATACGAGGGGGATATATACATTGAAAAAGATTTATCTGATATTCATCCAGTTGAGTTGATTTGAGCCTCAAAAAGAACTCAACATACTACTTAAAGAGAAACAAGCATGAGGACATTGTCAATAGAGAACTGAGTATTACAGCATTGTAGTCCAAGTTGTCACGGTTCACACCAGCCATATATATATATATATATATATATATATATATATATATATATATATATATATATATAAGTTAGATGACATTACCATGGTAGACTCAAAGTGATTACTATCTCCTTCTGTACACAGAGACTGGGTTTATAAACTTTAATTGCACAAGCCTCCACAAATGCAATCACCTTTCTGTTTGTTTGTCTTCTGTTCTGACAGTACAATTGGCTTTCTTTGGTGCAGACTGACTTTTATCAGTCAGGTTTGCAATGTGGCCACCATTCTAGGTAGCTCGACATCACGATGCACATTGATTTGATGATATTAGATGGTTGGAGGCAATCGGCCACAGGAAGCCATGGACCTAGGTTCCGTGCTAGTTGGCACTCATCAGTAAGGCGTATCTGCAACCTTGAAGGAACTCATGTCCCTTCTGAGATTCGAATCCGCGTCACCCAGTGCTGCAGTCGGAGATGTTATCACTGAGCTATTCGGGCTCGCGAATGACCTCCTGTAGGACTTTAGTGGGTATTTTGATTGGGCACTAGTAACTAGTGTGACGTTTCTAGTCCTTTCTTTGGTGCCACATTGCAAACCTGACTGATAAAATTCAGTCTGCACCAAAGAAAGGACTAGAAAAGTCACACTAGTTACTAGTGCCCAATCAAAATACCCACTAAAGTCCTACAGGAGGTCAATCGCGAGCCCGAATAGCTCAATGGTAACGTCTCTGACTGCAGCACTGGGTGACGCGGGTTCGAATCTCAGAAGGGACATGAGTTCCTTCAAGGTTGCAGATACGCCTTGCTGATGAGTGCCAACTAGCACGGAATCTAGATTCAAGGCTTCCTGGCGGTTGCCTCCAACCATCTAATATCGTCAGCACAACTGACTATTAAATAACGACTGTCAAGGATATATTATCTAAGAATGGATATCCTGACAGGTTTATCAATAAACATTCTAAAGAAATAAAATCCAGTAGAACTGTCCTAACCGTTTCAAGGAAATAAAGCTGTATATATCAGTTTGCCATTTAAGGGAGATGACAAGGACTTGATAAAGCTATTATTATTCCACAAAGTTCGTCTCCCTTAACAACACCAAAGAGATGCTTCAACAATCTGGAAAAGAACGGTCTCCAATCCATGACACTTCAAACTGCGTATATCGATTCGGGTGCCTTTATGGAAGCAAATATGTAGGTCGCATGGAAATGCGATTGTGCACAATCTTGATGAAACACTTGGCCAAGTGTTTGAAAAAAGCTGACATCTAAAAGTTCAATTAAAAAGCATCTATATGGACAACCGATATGGTGTTGACGATGTCAAGTCATTCAGTGTTGTCATCAAAGAAACAAATAGAAAGATAATTAACATTTACGGAGGCCTGTGCGATTACAGTTTATAAGCCCAGTCTCTGTGTACAAAATGAATCGACTATGGTAATACCATTTTACTTATCAACTGTCATTGCAATTAATATTCTAACCCATCTCTTATTGTTATTACTACTCCTGATCCAATTAAAACGATATTTTGACAGTTCCATTATCTCAACTCGTTTTATTATTATGATTATTATTCACTTTGCAATTCCTGACATTTTCAAGTTCTTTCTCAGATAAATAGTTGTGATGTGACTGAACTGTACTGAATTAGCTTAATTTTAACCACCAACATCTATAGGGACGTAACCTGAGGAAGACTCACACCTGTCGTTTTGCATGACTGATTGAATGTAGTTTATTTACTTATCACTCACGTATATCCCCCAATGTATCTCCAATAGTATACATATATAGCAAAGTATGCAGAACACTTGGCCGAAGACTTCTACCAAAATTCGATGAATTCATTAAATCCTGCTTTACTGACATTTGATGGTCGTTTTAACCTACAATTACTTGACTGAGAGATAAGAAAGATGCTTCAGTTAATAAAGTCGTGAGTCTCCACCAATCATAATAGCTGAAGAGGGGGGAGGCTGTAAGTACACTCTAACTAAGCATATAAATAATACTGAAACTATTTTCAAATAAGGTTACTCGTATAGCCTGTTCTAACACAGAGACAGGCGAAGTTCAACTACAGCATGCCAGGAGTGCGAACGCTCCAATGACTTTGAACGCATGCTAGTCGTTGGCTGACGGCACCTGTCATTATCACAGCTGAAATATCAATGCTATTCACTAACTTAGTAGCAAAATTTCACGCAGATCAGGTTTTTAAGTACTGTTTGAACAATATGTTAATAACTCGTTAGGGTTAGGGTTAAGGTAAGTATTGGGATTAGGGTTAGGATAAGGGTTGTAATTAGGGTTAGTGTTAAGTTTAGGGTTAAGGTCAGGATTAAGGTTAGGGTCACGATTATGGATAGATTTACAGTTGATGATATTTATTTAAATTTTTTTTCTTATTCACATTTTCCTGGTAAGTAGTCGTCGATCCTCTTACTGGAAACAGTAGTAATTCAACCGAGGGCTTTTCGGGAAGACTACACAACAGGATAAAAAAGATAAACGATTCACAGTAAACAGCTCAACTTTTGTCACCTCGGTGAATACATGTACAGAAACTAGTCCAACATAGTCACTGATACTCCTCATTATAACTGGGACGTATTTTTAAGTCATGTCAGAGAAAGATATCCTGTTTAATGCGTTTTCATCATGCATTTTCTTGTAAGTATACGCCATATTTTGTGCAAAAATTCCTCAATTGTATGATTGGTCAGCTGAAGGTCACTCGTGCGTTCCCATCCTTTGGGACGCCTATTGTTGAACTTTGCCCAAGGACAAACAATAACAAGAACGATATCACATAATATTGAGTCATAAGTTATGGATTCGCTTCAGCTTTTAAGTGATATATGTATGTATATAATTGATTGAAAATAGAATTAATGTGGAGATGTGTAGACGAAGCCTGAGGTTCCGTTCGGAACCCAAGGGAATAATAACAATAATGATAATAGATATATAAGGACATTCATACATACATGAACGTTTAATGATTCGACATACCTTGTGTAATATATCCTTCCATTTGTCATCCTTGTGTTGAACATGCTTTGCATAAAATTCTTTGTGTCTATTCATCATCTTCAATTGGATTAACTATAGCAAGATATCCTCGACTCTTTAGGTAATCAACACGAAAGTTGTAATAAGAAATAATGAAAGTATTCAAACTGCATAAAAATGAATGCAGAAAATTACTAACTGGAGAATCACCCTCCAAAACGTATACATATATATGTATATATTCTTATTTAGGAGTGAGCAATTTAAAGATAATAAGCTTGATTCTATGTCATACCAGTCCGCCCAAGTATCTAGCAAAAATGTGGATGGTTTAAACTCTTGTGGCACTCTGAAGTCAGTAATTCAGGGGAAGGTGCTGAAAAGCTCAGTCCTGAATGAGCGAAACGACCGTCAAGTGTTCAGAAACTTTGATTTGGCTAGCAGGCACTACTTACTGCTTGATATCAATGGATTCCAACTACTCCCAACATAGATAACCAGTTAGTTAAATACGTATTGCAAACAGTAATGTTGGTATTAACTATTGAGTAATGTACTACGCTGATTAGTGATGCTAGAATGGCTTAGGTTATTATGCTGACAAACCCTATGCACTCTAAATAATCTGATCAGCTGGCCACTTGTTGCAGTCAAACATATACAATAAGATTTATGTTTAATCTTTTCAAAATATGTCGACATGAGTTGAATACAACTTCTGTCAGTCATCTCATAGAGTTATAAATATGTCACGAGTGATATTACCTTTTCAGGAATCAAAATATCCGTTCCATTGGTTCAAAAAGTGTAACAACCTGTAGTACACTGATGGGACTAAAGTTAACACTCATGTGTTTTACGCTTCATTCACAATATGATTTTTAATTCTTCACAAGTCGACTTCAAGATAAAACTATGATCACAAATTGAGAAGAAAGAAACTTACTTCAATGAATAGCCTTTTTGGAAATATTATCAAGAATACACAGGTCATACAGTACTAGACACTACAAGATGGTTGATGGAAAATTACTTATTAAAAAGTAGTACAGAAGCCTATTTAGTTTGTCGAATTTTCACGGTCAATCAACTCTTCTACTAACAGTAGTTGTTATGAGGGTGTTGATAACATTCTAATTTGAGATTTTGACAAACTTATACAAATTGAAAAGTATTTCGAATACACTAACTGAATAATTTGAAAATACTAATTATGGAATATAAGGATAAAACTTGGGCACTGTGGGAGAGTATAATTCCATTATGGATAAAATGTTATTTTGATAAAATCACACAGTGCTGTACAGTAATATTTACTGATGACCACTTTAAGAGCACAATTTATTGCTGCTCATAACCATATCAAGGTTCTCACACACACACAACTTTCATGCTTCATTTATATACATGAGTAAAGATTGACTAGACATTTGAATAAAATCAATATAAGACATGCCTGGAACTTAAAGGAAAATGAAGTACATTCGGAAATAATATTAGTCTTGTCAATAAAATACAATGGGATGAGAAATAAGACAAGTGTTTTAGCCAATAAGACGGGAAATAAGATGTTTGTATAATAAAATAAATAACTTGTTAGAATGTTATAATGCAAATCAAAACACATTTTAACATTATTTATTATCCTCCTCTGATTTGACTGGTAGTGATATCTTTCATATCTCTGGTATTTGCATTGGGTCACTTCTATTGCATGTGTTGTGTGGACTGATTACTGAATCCTTGGTCATGGAGCCTACACCGAACACATCCAATAGAAGTGACTCAACATTCTGACAAGTTATTTATTTTTACTCTAAAAAACATTTTATTTCCCATCTTATTGACTAACAACACTCGTCTTATTTTCGCATTCTATTGCATTTTATTGATAACACAGTGGTTAGGACTCTCGCCGACCATGCACATGGTCCGGGGTTCGAGCCCACGCCGACGCACACCTCATATCTATGGTCGGCCTACAAAATTTGGGCTACCGATATCCATGCTGAAAATTCCATACTTGTACCAAAAATATGGTGTGGAATCAAGCTGTAATCAGAAAGAAAAGAAAAACAATATGCTTTATCTTATATTGATTTTATTCAAATGTCTAGTTAATTTTTATTTGTGTATATAAATGAAGCCAGAAAGTTGTGTGAGTACCTTGATATGATTATGAGCAGTAATAATTTGTACTCGAAACGTCATCAGTAAATATTACTGTATAACACTGTGTGATTTTATCAAAATAACATTTTATCCATAATGAACTTGGTTAATTGATCTATTGGATCTGAACTGAGTTGACTATTTAAATATAAAAGTTTGCACAAAAGTGGAACGCAATTCAAACACACAAAGGTAGAGAAGAGAAATCCAACGAAACAATGAGATGAACAGAAATGTGCAGGAGAAAGAATTCAATGAATCTATATTGAAATCTAAAATATCACAAGATGTGAATGCATCGGTGCCGCCATTGAAAACAAATTTTAACTACATTACCAACATTCATCAACTATTGATTCTAAGAGGACCTCAGCCAGCTTGTTTACATTATTGCTAGGTGGCGTATACTAGCAGTTAAAGGCTTTATGAATTGATTCCAATTTTTGGTTTGACCACTCCTAACTGTTTCTTAAGTCCGTTGACATTACTCGTCGAGGAAAACGATGGCTCAGGATGAGTAACACATATACTGGACATTCCAATCGACACAGCTTGACAACCTTATTGACTGACTTTCTTTCTTTACCTAATACGTTATGTGTAAACTTATTAATACTCTACCATACTACTGTACTACACCATTTATCACAAAAAATTAAATGCAGACACTTATGGTCAAAGACGGCTAGCTTTTTTATTTCTTCCACTTTCAACGGTCATTTATCACAACCGGTGAGAGGGGCGAGATAAACTTCTGCACAGTACCACACCTCATTTGATGGATTTGGCGATACTGAACAACTATGAGACAATATTGCATAATAACTGTAGTTAGATAACATCGACCGAATATTCAAGTAAAGAAATGTATTTACTATCAAATTCATAAACCTAATTATTAATATAAGGAGTATTCTCTTGCGTATAATACCAGATAGTGATAAACAGAACAACGGAAAAATTTACTGCTAGTGCTGTCTTGTTATCAGAGGCTTTCTGATTAACACAAAATAACCTCTCGTTACTATTTAAAATCATCGATGGGAATCACCACGGTAGCAGGCCGGATAAGAAGACTCTAGAAAATTCCGAATTCGCAGACGATTCTTTTTATGTCTGCTTTGACACAGACTCAAAGATCTATAAGTGAGAATCAACAAGTTGTCAACAGCAGCAGCAGAGGCCGGAAGCATTCCTAACAGGCTTCAGACTTTTATCAACAGCTGTCTTCGCCCGATACTGAAGATGAGATGGCCAGAAGGAATTAGCGACAGAGGACTCTGGGAACAGATCAAAAAGGAATCCAAAAAACTTATATCAAAGAAAATGAAGACGGATCGGACACACCTTGATGAGTAGACAGTTGAGAGACACCGTGCGCCAGGCAGATCTTCGACTGGAACCTGAATGGGAAACGACGAATTAGTCGTGAGTCCAAGGTTATGCGGAGGAGACAAGAACTTATGGACAATCGCAGAGTCATATAAAGATGACTGCTGAAGACAGAATGAAGTGGAGACATGCTGTTCAATTACATAATAAATAAGTTTATTTTAAATATTACACAGTGATACAGTATCCCTAAAACTAATAAACGTAGTAGAACGCATGGGTTAAAAAAATTTATAAAGCAGGATACCCTATCAGGCCAATAGCTGACTTTGGAAAAACCCCGACGTACGAGTTATCTAAGAATTTAGCATCAGTGTTCTGCCACATTAGAGATAGATTAAGTTCTGGGCTACCTAATTAGTAAGTAATGAAACAAAAAACAAGAGGAAATTCAATGAGAAAAAAAGATGAAAAAGTGATTAGTTTGGACATAACCAGTTTATTTATCCTTTTATTGTAGCTTGACTCCACACTGTATTTTGACACAAGTATGGAATTTTCAGCTCAAATTCAGCAGGCCGACCATTGGTATCAAGTGTGCATCAGCAGGGGATCGAACCCCGGACCATGTGCATGGTCGGCGAGAGTCCTAACCACTATGCCACCGACGCATATACTAATATTCCCATTAATACAGCTCTCGAGGCAGTTAGGAATGAACTGAACACTGAACCTCAACTCAAAAGTAGGATTAAGCCCTCGGCTGATGAAATAATATCAGGTGTTTAGTTACATCTAATCTCCACTATATTCAAGTTTCAAAATAAACTATATAAACAAACGAATAGGGTGGCAATGGAATCACCAATATCCCCAATAGTGGCAGATATATTTATGGATAGTTGCGAACATAAAGCTCTTGGAACGTTTAATCCCGCTACTCCTAGGTTATGTTGGAGATATTTGGATGGCACATTTACTGTGCTGAAATCTGAACATATCCCCCATTTTTTCACGAATATAAACTCACTAGTAGGCGGAATCCACGGAATTCACTGTTGAGTCAGAAGACGAACAGAGTGAGTTGGCTATACTAGACTGTAAAATAAAACGAAAACAAGATGGTGGGTGAGATACTAGCTTTCATAGGAAACCGACACACTAGGTGGCACAGTGGTTAGGACTCTCGCCGACCACGCACATGGTTTGAGGTTCGATCCCCTGCCGACGCACACCTCATATCTATGATCGGACTGCAAAATTTGGGCTACCGATATCCATGCTGAAAATTCCATACTTGTACTAAAAAACACAGTGTGGAATCAAGCTGTAATAAAAAAAATTCTTAGACTTTACTTCATCTCATCCAGAATCGGTGAAGATAGATTTAGTTAAATGTCTGTATAATCGGGCCAAGAGCCTCACTAGAAAGCCACGAGATATACACAACAAAATTAAACAAATAAAGGAAATACTACAATTGAATAAGTGTCCACCAGAATTTATTCAGAAATATATGAAGAACCATAGAAACATAAAATTAGTAATAAAAATGGCGGAAATAACGAAACGAATATAGAATTCAAAGCCTCTGTAGTACTACTGCATAAAGAAGGAACATCAGAGGCCTTACATAGGAAACTCAATAAGGATGGAATTAGGGTGGCATTTAAACCAACCAACTAACCGACTCTCTCAGACATAAACTTTGTTAGCTTAAGCACCAGCCTGATTGATCCAATTAAGAAAAATAATATTATTTACCAAATACCATGTAATGGCTATGAGGTCAATTACATAGGTCAAACTAGTAGATCGGGGTCAACTAGATTATCGGAACATAAAAATTTAGCTAGACTTAGAATACTTAACCCTGCTAAGTTAAAAAACCTAGTAGAAAGGTCAACCATTGCACTGCATTCACTTGCATGTAGTCACAAAGTAGGAAGGGTGGGATAGGGTGAGAGTATTAAAAAGTAATATAGTTAGGTGGAGAGAGAGGTTAATCACCGAATCTTTGTTTACCGATTCAACACTGCATACGTTCAGTGGGAATGACGCAGCACCTAATGCTGGAGATATGGAAAGTGGCAACAAACAACAAGGGGAAATTAGAGAAACAGAAAGAGAGGAAATATATGAAAGACAAACTGTGAAACCGTGTAACTAAATTGATATGATTATGAGTAGCAATAATTTGTGCTCGAAACTTTGTCACCCAGTTATTAATATTGTATCACTATGTGATTTTTAAAATAAACTTATCTAATATGGAATTACACTCTACCACAGTGCCTAAGTCCTAAACTTACATACATGTTGTTGAAGCCATAGGTTCCACTCGGAAGGAACCTTAGGGAATAATAATAAATAGTAATGGCGGAATACTGCTACTCTTTTTCATAATAAGAATAACTGCGTTTATTACTAAACCAAACATATACAACCCCACAACCAAAGTTAGTAAATAAATAAATGGCGAGAAAAAACAAGTGTAGTACTTTTAAGAAAATATACAGTTTATTTACAAAATGAACACATTTCACATTTCCTTTTCATATATTCAAGCAGAGAAAAAAAGGTAATAAGTGAGGAGAGTAGCAAAATGAAGAAGAAAAGAGTAAAATGCATTAAAATATATATATATATATATATATATATATATATATATGTACACAATATATACAATATCATTGTTAGTTTATCCAAACAAATCACCAACTGTAGGCAGTGGATCTAAGCCGAGATCTGTCATATCAGGCAGCAGGTGTAAATCAGGCAGATTTAAGATATGCTTATTTAATTCATCTCTTAACGCCTCTCCATGATCCAATTTAGCTTTTAAATCCTATTGGAAACAATAGATAGAAAAGAGATGAATTAGACATTGAAAATAAATGCTATTCAAAAGTGGGGGTAGTCAGCGAAATAATAACCAACAAGTTGGGGAGATAGATTCGAAGGACTTTTAGTGCTGGTAATTTGCAACTCACACTCCCCACACGAACGGTTGGGATTCAGAAACTGAAAGACGAAGTGTTTAGTCATCTCTAATTGTATCTATCAATTCAACTGCACTTGTGGAGAGTTATATTGGTCATTGTTCTAGGAATTTAATCTTTCGTGTGGATAAATAAGAGTGTTATTAAAATCACATCATTAGGCAACAAAGCTCGGATTAAGAAGCCCTGTTCTTTCATCTATTGAATACCGCATCAATTGACAAATGCCTCTAGATACCGAACAGTCCAAACAGATGTTGACCAGTGAAATCCGCTTAAAATAACCGGAGATCCGTGTGCAAAAAGAAACAAGTCCAGCCACTATTACTACTCTGGCCTGCTGTGGAAGCTACACATGACTATTCTCTTGTTTCGATCACTCAGAATGTCTGGAATGAATGTTGCAACGTTAGTTAACTTGGCCTTCATTCGCCTAATCTGCTGGCCAGTTCTAAATCCGGAGAAAAGAAGGAAGATGGTTGGTCATGGGGCAAACCAGGAACCTATTGCCCAACTAATTTTCCGAAAGGAATGGAGATGGATCTGACACACGCTGAGGAGATTGTTGAGGGACATCATGCGCTGGACTCTCGAACTGAAATCGACGATTTGGGCGTCTAAGGCTGATATGGAGAAGATTGTGTCAGGAAGAGATGAGAGGTCATAGGCGATCGTGGAGTCAATTAAAGACGACTACAGAAAACCGGATAAAATGTGAAGATGTGACGTTGAGTGCCTATGTTCCACCCGGAAGGAACCTAAGGGAACAATAATAATAACAATGCAATCTATCTTTCTGGAGTTTGAACAATAAAAGCTAAAAGATTAGCACTTATATGATCAAGGGTTTTACCAGTACAGATTATCTCAGCAGATTATCCCAAAGTAATATATATGTATCACTCTACTTTTAATTATAATCAATGAGGCATACTAAGCTAAGCTATTTAACATTTTATAACATAGAAGCAAAAATCAAACATACATCAACTTCTGTTTTAGCTTGTGTAATTCTTTCTTTTAAATGACTATGGAAGGCACGAAGTTGTAAGGCTAGTTGATTTCTTTTATTTGTCTCTTCTTCTAACAACTGATTATAGTCATCTAGTCGAGAAGAACATTGACTAATACGCTCAATCAATTCTTGTTGAGCTTGCTCAGATGCTATAGAACAACAAAAATAGTAGGAAAAGATTATATCTTCTGGTTAGTTATACGAAAAATATGAGATATAATTAACTTTAAAAAAAGTCAAATCCTTACAAACAAACTCATGACAATTAGTCTGATGATTACTTACAGGATTTCATCATGAGCTGACATCGGGAAGGCATGAGGACAAATACTTGCCACGGAAGACATTGATCAGGGGTCGCGCTATGTCGTTAATTGGCAGAAGTTGGAATTCATGGACTACCGATTGAATCAGCTCCCAGTGGCTTAATGGTCTACGAGCTCGCCTTTTAACCATTAGGTCCTGGGGTTAGAACCCCAGTGGGTGCCTACTGCTGAAGAGTCCCGAACTAGGCTGACGAAACAGCTGTCTAGTACTCCCTGCAGGTTTTCCAATGGTTCTCTAACCAATGTCAGCTCATGATGAAATTCTGTAACCAATCAATTCAATTCCTACAAACCAATACTTGAATAATCTGATGATCGCTAGTGACTAGCTGCAGGAAGAAGATGCTTCGAGTTCTTGTGAGAAGCCGTAACTAGTGCGGTAGACCAGGTCCAATGTGATAAAAAACACCCACCGATGAGATTGACTGGAGGTAGAGCGAAAATTGTGAACTGGCGGAAGTTACAATTGATAACCAATTGGATTCTGTCAAATTGGCTGAATGGTTAACGAACTTGACCTCGTAGCCTGAAGGTCCCAGTTTCTATCTCAGGGAGGTTGTGGGTGAGTACTGTTGAAGAGAGTCACAAACTAGAACACAACACACTATCAATTATTCAGTGTATTAAAACCTACTAACTGAAAAGCTCAAACTTTTGACTGTTCGCTAAATAGTGTTATCAGTGAGTATTTTTTTGTTAAAATCAACTTAGCAGAGTTACCAATAATGCTTCAAAAAGTGTATTCTTTCACTGACTGATTAGTTTCAACGTAGCAGCAGTTCGAGTTGCCACACTCCATGTAGCACACAAAGCAAGAGAAGAAGGTAGAAGAAATGCATAATAGAGACAGTAAACAGAGGTGTGAGACAAAGAAATAGAAGTAACGAAGAACAATGTAGTTTCATTGGAAATCATAAGTCACAAGGAGTGGATGCATCTGCGCCATTGAGAACGATCACTTTGAGCCATATCACCAATTGTTTCCAACCACTGGTTTTTACCGTCCCGAAGACCGCAACCAGAAAGTCTACACCTTCCTACGTAACTTCAACTAACTGTTGTAGATTTCATTGACTAGTGCCATGTTTTGGTTTGACCGCCGCTAGCTCTTTTGAAGCCTGACCATATATCAGCTAACATTGCCCGTCGAGGAAGGCGATGACTAGGCGTACGTAACACATGTCCTAACCATCTCAGTCGAAGTAATTTCACAGCCTCGTCGACTGATTTCCCCTCTTTACCTAGCGCTCAACCGAAGCCTAACCTCAATATTGCTCACCCTATTATACCACCTGACACCGCAGATAGAACGCAGACACCTATGATCAAAGATAGATAGCTCGCCTTTTCATGTCTTCCACTCTCAATGGAAAGGTCTCACAGCCATAAAGGAGGACGGAGTGGACTGATGAGCAGTACACCCGCCCTTTGGTCGATAGCCGGATATCACGTCTACGCCACAGACGGCGTAAACTGGCATATGCGAAACTAGCCCTCTGTATCCGTGCTAACAATTATCTTAATACTTCTTCTGGACTAGTGAGGTTTATGGTATGAATGATTAGTCGCATAATTCTAGGGTAAAATTGATATGTATCCACATATATATATGTATGTGTGTGTGCATGTTGGTCTCTCTTTCTGTTTGCTCGGTTAGTCTGTGACCACTTCACTTGTATGGACTTGTCTCCTTTAAAAGTGTGTATTCTCCTTATATTATATTATATATAATATGAGTGTTTGTTGACAGTCCGTTGCTTGGTGACATATATCCATATATGTTTGTTGGCATGTCTGCTATATTCGCTATGTATAATTGGATCGACACTCCATTATAATTAGCCATTCATGTTAAGACTGTCTAATGATTTTTCCCACGCTTGTCTGAATTATTTATATATATTCGCATTCACAATTTGTGTGAACTTCTTTACTTTACAACTACTTTACTTACTTACCACTTTGGTGTGAGACCATTTATTTTCGTCTCCTTGTGTTTGGACAATAGAAGTATCATCGCAAACCTAGTGGTCTTCTGATTTCCGCCTTCTCGCGTCAGGACTATTAGTTTCTCGACCAGTCCATAACAATAAATTTAGCGACGAGTACATAACAATTTGGCGACGGGGAAAACTAGTACATAACAATTTGGCGACGGGGAAAACTACTATTAACCACACAGCAGCAACAACATAACAATTTACTATGGATCCTATTAAATTGGAATTATTGTTTGAACGACAAATGAAATTAATGGAAATGTTCGTCAACCAACAGACTGGTCCAGCTCCACCTTCAAGCAATCCCAATCATACCATGCTACCATCTGTCGACGGAATTGTGAACAGCATTTCACAGTTCAATTATGACCCAGAGGCTAATGTCACTTTTGACACATGGTATCAACGTTATGAGGATTTATTCACTGTTGATCTCGCCTCACAAGACGATGCCTGGAAGGTGCGAGTTTTGCTACGTAAATTGGGTCCGGCAGAATATGAACGGTACTGCAACCTAATTTTACCACAGAAACCACGTGACAATTGTTTCGATGATACAATAAAGTTGCTGCGTGAACATTTCGGAGACCACTCCTCATTATTCAGTATACGTTATCGTTGCCTCAAGCTGGCAATGAATGAAAATGATGATTTTCTTACTCACGTTGGCACAGTCAACCGAGAATGTGAGAGATTTCGACTCAGGTCCTTAACAGATGATCAGTTCAAAGCCTTGATTCTCATATGCAGTCTCCAATCTCCTCGTTTCACAGATATCCGAACTCGACTGCTCAATCAGCTAGAACAAAATCCCAAGTTAACATTACATGACATAGCTGATGAATATCAACGGCTGATTAATCTGCAGAAAGACACACACTGGTCGAATCAACACCTCCGAGAAGCTCTGATATTCGTGCATTACGCAAGAGCAAAAATCTCTCATCAGCTACTCCTGACCCACCTACTTCTCCTAATGTTCCGCGGAAATCTACACATACTCGTCCAACTTCACAAAATACTGCAAAGAAGACCCCACCATCACCATGCTGGCATTGTGGCGCGTGGCACTTTGTAAAGTCTTGCCCATACAAAAATCATCGTTGCAGCAAGTGCAAATCATCGGTCATAAAAATGGTTTTTGTCAGCCACGCAAACCCAGATATCAAAATCCAGCAAAAGCTCAACAAAATGTTGGTCCTAAATCCCCAAAAAGTCATTGAGTCTACGCGCAACCCGTCAAGTCACAACACCAGCTATGCGGAAATATCTTGACCTTCAGATGAATGGTCATGATACTCGTCTGCAGCTAGATACTGCCTCTGATATTACTGTTATATCAGAGAAACTTTGGAATTATATTGGCAGACCACCTATCACCAATACTTCCCAGTCTCTTCTCAGCGCCTGTGGTGGGCGGCTCAAACTAATTGGTGAACTCAAATGTTCTGTTTCCTTCCGCAATACCAAATTCACAGGAATTTGTTACGTCACGAAGAATGATTTAAATGTTTTGGGACTTGATTGGTTCGATCGTTTGCATCTGGCTGATGTCCCACTAAATTCTCTACGCAATACAGTGAAGAAGCATAAAATGCTAGACAATTCCGGACGGAGCCGAAGCCGCAAACCCAACAATCAGACGAAACGACAGGCGTCAACAACAAGCCCAAAGGTCCCAGATCCCAGGTAAACATCCTACTAATCATTCATCTTCTCAAAAGGGGAGGTGATATGTATCCACATATATATATTTATGTGTGTGTGTATGTTGGTCTCTCTTTCTGTTTGCTCGGTTAGTCTGTGACCACTTCACTTGTGTGGACTTGTCTCCTTTAATAATGTGTATTCTCCTTATATTATATTATATATAATATGAGTGTTTGTTGACAGTCCGTTGCTTGGTGACATATATCCATATATGTTTGTTGGCATGTCTGCTATATTCGCTATGTATAATTGGATCGACACTCCATTATAATTAGCCATTCATGTTAAGACTGTCTAATGATTTTTCCCACGCTTGTCTGAATTATTTATATATATTCGCATTCACAATTTGTGTGAACTACTTTACTTTACAACTACTTTACTTACTTACCACTTTGGTGTGAGACCATTTATTTTCGTCTCCTTGTGTTTGGACAATAGAAGTATCATCGCAAACCTAGTGGTCTTCTGATTTCCGCCTTCTCGCGTCAGGACTATTAGTTTCTCGACCAGTCCATAACAATAAATTTAGCGACGAGTACATAACAATTTGGCGACGGGGAAAACTAGTACATAACAAAAATAAACTAGATTACGATAAAAGTTCGATGAATGTAAACTGAAGCAGAACATTTGAGTGATTCAAGTGAAGATGATAATGATGATGATACGAGGGAACACAATTAACTTACAAGACTTCATGATTTCCATCGCTTTATTTGGATCTGAAACCTCTGGTGGAAATTGAGCTATTTCACGACGTGTAGCAGCGTCAGCAGAAGCAGAGGATTGAAGAGTCTCGAGAAGCTGAATAAGCTCCTCAGTCTAAAGAAGACAGTTGAAATGAATTTAATTGTAAGTTAATAACGATAACGATTAATACTTACAATTTTATTCTACAACAAAATGCTTTCAAAAACAATGTAGCACTCGAAAAACAAAAATGAAAGCTCAGGAAAAAATTTTTCTCATAGTTATAAATTAATCCACTGACTAAGGGATCAGTTTCCCAGAGTTCTGTTGGGAAATTATGAATATCATCAGAAAGGATACTCGTCAGTGACACGTCGTGGAGGTGGCACTATATCGCTAATCGACAAAAGTAGAAATTTATCGGACATATTTAAAATTCACACATAGATACATTTATATCATCATGAAGGTTGTGTTGCATCTTATGAAACCTCCAAATATTACTCCTGTTAACTTAAGGATCCAAGCCACTACGTTTCTAATGTATCATGCAGTTACATCCAATAGGAAAATATAATCTCATGGATAGTGATTGGTTGCACAAGAACCTAAGATAGTTGATATGTATCCACATAATATATGTGTTTGTTTTTGACAGTCTGTTATATTTTGCTATGTATACATGAATCGATATTCCATTATCATTGACAATATGTTTTTGTCTGTCCAGTAACTAACATACATGTCTGACGTTGTTGTCACATGACATTACAACCAATCATGTAAAGACTGTCTATTGATTCGTTCATTTTTGAACATTCGCTCATACACTTGTGTGACATTGACTATCCTGGTTGTTGAAAAATACAAGTATCATCGTGAACCTGGTGGTTTTCTGATTTCCGCCTTCTTGCGTCAGGACTATTAATTACTCGACCAGTACATAACAATAGTAACACAAACTTCAAATAGTGTTATTTATATGCGTGAGAGAGTATAATTCCATTATGGAGAAAATTTTAGTTTGATAAAATCGCACAGTGTTATACAAGTAATATTTACTGATGACAATGTTTTGAGCACAATTTATTGCTGCTCATAATCACATCAAATCACTCACACAACTTTTTGCTTCATTTATATACATGAGTAAAGATTGACTAGACATTTGGATAAAATCAACATAAGATAAAGTACATTCGGAAATAATATTAGTGTTATCAATCAAATACAATCAGATGGGAAACAAAATATTTTTATAATAAAATAAATAACTTGTCAGGATGTTATAAACTGAATTTATTTATTATCCTCTGATTTGACTGGTAATATTATCTTCCATATCTCTGATATTTGCGTTGAGTCACTTCTATTGCATGTGTTATTTATTATTTATTTAAACGCATAAAAAACTTGGTACAACATGGCATCAGGAAAGATGCGCCACACTACATTTGTGGTGTGAGGGCTGAGATACTGCCCGGGCGCCCAGACCGAAGCAGGTGGTTTTATTAAGGGACCACCCCCCCCGCGAGCCTTTGACTTGGAGTCTAATCCGAAAGGCAGTGGAGCAGCGTCAGGAGCTGCATTCCCATGGATGCCGGTGACCCATATGGGTTCATACGCCATTTGATCCGATTGGATACTGGAGCCCATATACCCCATGGTAACTGATTTTAGTCTAACCGCTATCCAAACAACCTTCCTGACATGGTAGGACCTGCAGGGACATGAGTCCCAGCCAGTTTAGCTTGTTGGGTCACTGCGGTATTCAAGCCCGACCACCACGGCAAGGTAGCAGTTGTCGGCCAGGCTATTGCATGTGTTGTGTAGATTGATTACTGAATCCTTGGTCATGGAGTCTACACCCAACACATGCAATCGAAGTGACTCAACGCAAATACCACAGATATGGAAGATGTTATTACGAGTCAAATCAGCGAATAACAAATAATGTTAAAATGTACTTCAATTCACATATATTATAACATTTACCAATTTATTTATTTTACCATAAAAACATCCTATTTCCTATCCTACTGGACTAACAACACTCGTCTTATTTCCCAACTTATTGTATTTTATTGAAAACGCTAATGCTATTTCCGAATGCACCTTATATTGATTTTATTCAAATGTCTAGTCAATTTTTAATCATGTATATAAACAAAGCAAAAAAAAGTTATATGAGTACCTTGATATGATTATAAGCAGCAATAAATTGTGCTTGAAACTTCGTCATCAGTAAATATTATTGTATAACACAGTAAGATTTTATCAAAATAAAACTTTATCCATAGTGGAGTAGATCTCCTAATGTTTAACAGAATTCTTTGTTTCATGTTAAGTTATACAGTTTCCCTACTAAATCAATCCGAATGCGAGAATTAGTTGAAACTTAGCTTAGATGGCAGTAAGCATGAATATTTTAGGAACATCACATTATCACTTAGAGTATATATAGTATACTAGTCGGTTAGATAGTTGTGAACAAATATAAACAAACATACCTTTGGAGGTTGGGTAGCTTCAGTTTGTAATTCTAAATCTAATTCTTTTCGAAACGCTGAGATTGAATTAATTGACAAACTATTGCTTTCATAATTTACAGGATCAAAGGACACAGAAGCCATCAAGATATTTTGTGTTGAAGAATGATGTCGTTTATGATTATTATCTTTGCTATTCAGCAATTTCGGTGTTTGAAGAGCGTTAACTGAAGCCTCTTTACTGCCTGCTACTGTTGGATTCAATAAAACTGCCGTGAATGAGAAAGCGAATGGGGAAGCAGCAATAATGTTGCGTTTCTGTGTATAAAATTTAAAAAAAGATTACAAGAAGAAGTCGGCTGTGTAATGAGTGATGTGATGATGTCAGTGGCAGTTTCGTGTGTGTGTGTGCTACGCGTAACATTTACTATACAAAGAAAACCGCTTTATCAAACCACTCACTTATTTTAGCATTCGTCTTCGAATTCCACTCCACCTATGTCAGTCAGCCTGAGAAACTGAGTAGTACCATTAGCCACCTCTCACGCAATGAATCTGATTAATTATTTACAGGATTGACGAGCTGACAGCAGTTAAAGAACCATTGGAGAACCTGCAGGGAGTACTGGACAACTGTTTCGTCAGCCTAGTTCAGGACTCTTCATCAGTACGCACCAACCACCAGGGTTCGAACCTAGGACCATCCGGTTAAAAGACCAGCTCGTAGACCACTAAACCACTGGCAGCCGATCCAATGGTCAGTCCATGAATTCCAACTTCTGCCGATTCGTGATATGTATATATTTAGCGCAACTGCCAGACAATGTCACAGGTGAGTAACTATCCATTCACCTGACTTGGTAGACACCACTGGTTACGACTTCTCACCAGAACCTCAGCTAATTTCTTGTATAAGGCCAGTCGCTGATGAGCATCAAATTACTTATCAAGTGTTAGTTCGCAGGAATTTGATTGGTGGGTACATAGAAAATCTACTTTGGCGTAACTTAGTTCTAACTAAACACTTATTGATACAGAAAGCTTGAATATATAATTTAACTATTTTGAATGAAATGCTTGAATAATTAAATATATGCGTTTACTTCTTAACAAACTTTTTGTTCTCATTCTAAATATGTTTAACGTCGTAGTCCGTGAACTTTGATTTTTTTTTAAGAATCATACTAGTCTGTAAAATTAATAATAATGATGATAATTATGTAGATGGTCTAATATTTACAGAACTGATACACTAACCATATAATTAAATAATTTCGAGTGGTATATTAAATCCAGATTCTTGAGCTGTTTTCTGGAGCCGGGCCTTAATCGAAAACTCAAGGCAATTTATTGGTCGTCGTCGAAGTGACAGTTAGATGATTAAGAATCAGGGATTAGTTTCGTTTCAATTTGCAGTACCACACTAGCAGACCGATACTCATTTAAGAACACAATATTCAGCAAAGAGACCCTTTTCAATGAATTTATTATCAAGCTGTGCAATCGTATATATATGGTGTTTAAGAAATTATATCCGGTGAGGGAATTAGGTCAAAGGTGTGAATACATGAAATAATAATAGTATGAAATGCAATTGAAATATTTGTGATTATAATCATGGTTTAATGTCAAGTGGCAAAATAATTAATGTCATACATAAAATAATACATAAGGTATATAGATTTTGGACAAATTTAAATACGTTTAGATTTTCACAATTGTTTGGAATTTCTCCGAATTAAGCACTGATCATTCCATTTCAACAAACGCCTCCTTCAAAGTAATCTACAGAGTCAAGAATAACCTGTCAAAGGCAATATGGTTTCGTCTCCTTTGTATCGCTGAAGCTCTGGCCATTCACATAGAAAAACCGGAGCTGCGCATACAAAAGAGAATTACTCAACCACTTCTAATGTCATGGTAAAAATGTTTTGATTTGATTTTTTTTATTTTGATGACTTAATTTTGTTTCTTTGCCTGTTCTTTAATTGCTTATAATTCTTCTATTCATTTAGAACTCTTACGTAATTTCGTATTCTCTCTTCTTTGTTTCGGTGTGTATCCTGATTGAAAATCAATCATCAAACTATTCATATTATTATTACATAACTTCTTTTAACAACTGTTTGTGACAACTCATCACCTTTGTTACTACCCTAATTTCATTAACACCTAATTTTCTTGACTTGTATTGCCAATATTCACCTGTTTAGTTAGAAATAACCTTAACCAATTGTCTATTTTTTGTTTGACAAACTTAATATACACATATACACAAAATAACACATATATATTTGCGATTGTACAGCTAAGAAAATGAATTCGCCGCCGAAAAGAGACTCTTCGCTGATCTACGTGTTTTGTTTTCATTAATGCCTGGATGGGGATTATCCATGAATCTCAAAAATAATCTAGATTACTGTTAGATGATTAAAGGTAATCAGCAGGAAGGCGGATTTTGAATCTTTTAGGACTGACATGCTTCTTTGTTAGCCGTCAAGTCATGATTTATGCATTTAATAAAGTGGTGACGGGGTTATTCAATTCAATGTCAATAATTCCAGTGTGTTAGGGGATAAAAAAGAATTCCCTATACAAGAACCTTTGTTTTATTTGATGAGAAACGTCTCACAAAGTTGTTACGCTTCATCAGTTACAACCCGAAAAAAAATGTGTGGAGTTCACTCTTGCTGCAGTACCAGAATTTGTTCCACGAAAGACTCGTCAAAAGGAAGTGAAGCATTGAATGCAGACAGTATTAAAGTTGCAGAGGTAGTCGAAGTCTCACTCAATAAATAAGCAACTGTGAAGAAGATAGTAATGAGTTCGAGGAATTACTGCAATGTTTATTATGTCAACATGGCGAACTTCTTACTCTGCCCGAGAACGAACTCGAACAACTTTTACTTACGTGCACCAAAGAGGTACAGTTCCAGTTCAAAAACACTGTAAGGCCAAATTGACGGAGTAGCTACGGGAAGCCCTCTGGGTCTGATTCTGGCAGATATTTTTATGTGTAGTCTAGAGCGAACAAGGTTGAAAGCCTCAATCAGTCAAACTAACTTTTGTACCAGTTATGTCGATGACACTTTAGTTATTTGTAATTATTTTAATGATGCCTCTCAAATAATAAAAGTCTTGGACAGAACCAATCCTAATATTAAGTTTACAATGGCGTATGAAAAAGAGGAGAAGTTCCACTTTCTTGACCTGGGTATCCAACGATATATAGACGGCAAAATCATAAGATATATACACAGAAAAGAGACCTGGAGGGCGGTTTATCTTAACTTCAAAAGCTTCTGCCCTATAAGTTATAAAAATGGATTGATGAGAACATTATTTGATCGTGTAAGGAAGCTGTGTTCAAAAGAAAAGATTGAGGAAGAGCTATCAATTGTGCAGAAATGCCTACGCGACAAAGGTTACCCACAAAAGGTCATCGACAAGTATGGGAGACGTCATGTTGAAAAAAGGAAAAGAAGCACAGTAGAGAAAAAGCCAATCCTTCTGCAGCTTGCATTCAAAGGTGATGATACTGATAGTAGAATAAGATGCAGACTGAAGGCTGCCCTGAAAAGAACATATCCAGCCGCCAAGCTTGTATGTGTGTTTATCAAACAACTAGTTGTTTGAGACAATCAAAAGTGGGCAAATACCCACCTCATGTTACCTCCAACTGTGTCTACCAATTTACATGTACGTGCCAAAGCACATACATTGGAAGAACAGAGAGAAGGGTTATTGTCCGCATCTCTGAACACATACCAACGAACCTGAAACTGAAAAGTCCACAAGCATTAAACAGTGCGCGATTGCTCGTCATCTATTGGACACTGGTCATATTGTAAACAACCTGAAGTCATTCAAAATAATCAACAAGCAAAAGAAACCTAGCTTGCTACGCTTTGTTGAAGCAATTGCCGTCAAACGACTCAAACCAAATCTATGTACGCAGAAAGAGACAGTGGTGAATCTTGCACTGTACTGGTGATAACAAAATATACAATCTTTTCCTTGTTTAGAAAACTCTACTCCCTCATCTAAACACGATTCACCCTACCTTGTTCTTTTTCTCTTTTCTATTGGCTACCAGATAAAACATTGTCTTTAGTTACGTAATCTATTTTTTTGTTACGCTCTTTCTAGCTAAACCTTTTTCTATACACACTTATATACGCAACTCTGTTTTTTTGTTTTCAAGCCTAATCGTCTAATTATTCTATAAATAGTCAGTGTTTGTAACTCCTAGTCAGTTAAATCATTCCGGACTAATGTTACTTTACTTCCTACCAATTACTCCTTGTGGTCGTGGAAAAGCCTCCGCGTTAGCCTTGAAGTCGCGATTTATGCATGTTGTGACATGACAACCTGGTTGGATAAATTTTGATTCGCCTATTTATGGCTTAATCTTCTGAGGTTTCACAAGTACGATATATCATGTATTTTATCTAATGAACGTTGTTGTCACCGTCAGAAACTTTTCTATTCTGACCTTTGTGTCTACCTCGTGGGAGATAATTTCAAGCAATCAGTTGGTTATAGTGTAGTGCTCCGGAGGTACATTCTAGTCAAGTTTGGCGAACCCATAGTCAGTGAAACTTCGTCATAACCGAATCTCTAAAGCAACACAAGCTCCTACAAGATTTTAGATACACCTTGCTGATCAGTGCCAACAAGTATGAAATTTAGGTCCAAGATTTCCTGCTGACTGCCTCCAACCACCTGACAACAATTTAGAGTGTACCATGATGGCGAGCCACCTAGCATGATGGCCACAATGCAAACTTGACTGATAAAATTCAGTCTGCATCAAACGAAAGACTATGCACGTGGCATTAGTTCAATCAAAATAATCACTTTCTGGAGCTACAGATCTACACACCTTTTGAAAAGCTGATTAATTTAAAAAACGGTTCTTATCATAGGGTAATTGCAGCTATGAAATTGCAAAAATAACAGGAAGCAAATCATAAGTCTTGTTGCGAGGCTTTATAATCATTAAAATACGACCAAGTCCACGATCACCAAATCTCACGACCAGCATATTACCGACCAGAGAAATGGTTAGGATTATGTGATTCACACAGTTAAATGCCTTTAGCTATACTTAATCCTAAATGATTATATTTTTCAGTGAAACGCTAAAACCAATATAAAACAGAATCGACAGTTCAAGTCCTTAGGCTGAGACAGAAAACATTATTATAATTTGACTGGACAACCTTTGACACCCGATCCTATACACGAATCAGTTTAATTATTGGTAGTGTATTTACATGATGAACTTTTTGTCTAATGAAGTTGTGCTTCCCATCGTCACAAGTCAGTTTTGTCTTCTGATTTTTCTTTGGGCTCGAGGCAGCAGAAGGTATTTTGCCTATCGCATTCAGTATTGAGTCTAAACCTGTTCTCATCTATAAAACTTTTCAATTTTTGTCGATCTGTGATAAAAAGACAATCATCATCCGATATCATTTGTGTACACTTGTCTTTACATACTACTTGGTGAATTTTATAAGTCCTGATTTCCCACTTAAAGTTTACAAAACTCGTCTCGAGGCTAATCTCTAGTGAGCATTGAACTGCTGTGTGACTACGTGCTTTACAAGTCACTAGGCTCTAAATCGCCAAGTGAGGATCTTGAAAGTGATTTAATACATCAATGAAAAAAAGATAATTATCCACAAACATATTAGATGAACCTACCACACTCACGAAAGGTATTTGATTTGCATGCCTATGTGAAGTTGTACAGAGGTTGATACCTATAGTGCAGTTGTATGTTCTATCCAATAAAGCTTAGACTTGTAGAGAACTCATGCTTTTAAAGTGAAACGAGCCATCAACACAAAATTCAATTGAATGATACATTCAAAGTCTATAGAAAACAGTCAAAAAGTACATACTTTACTCATTAAGTTTCCGATGCCGACATCGAGTAAGTATTCTCTGGTGAAGATGTTTGTAACTTAGGGTGTGAATTTCTTGACTTAGTTACCATATGAGTGTTTTATACCCAGCTAGGTATTTGTCAATCATGCGTAATAGACTAAATTAACGAAACCACAACCCCGAATCTGTGAAACACCTGATAAAGTGGTAAGATTAAAAAACAAACCGTTTTAACAGACTTAATTTATAAAACAACTAGAACTAATATACGTGACATCAAGGTGCTTTTAGAGAGAAATAATGTCAGTGAGACATATTGAAAGCAGTGTATAACAGGCTCTAAACAAAGAGGTTCTTTTGCTCTCATATCACCGAAAAAATAAAGTAGTTACTAAGTGTTGGCAAAAATTTAAAAATATTAATAAGGACATCAAACAGCAATGCATCTAGTTAGTCAAGGTAATAAACTTACGATCTCTTCACTAGCATTTGGAGTATCAGCCTCGGCAACTGCTCGTTGGCAAATGAAACGTAGCTGTCTTAGAAAACTTTTAGAATATACCCGACGAGTCGCCCATACAATTAGAAGATGTGCAACAGATGAACGTACTGAATGACGTTGGACTCTGAATAAAATAACAAACAAGTAAGCGATTTCTCACATCAGCAAATTTTCAAACTAAAATAATGACAAGTAGTCTAATGTAAACCACTATTTTGAAACTGGTCACTAATGAAACCTGTTTAAGTTGAAGAGAGGGAATTAGCTATGTACGTTAATCATTGATCTTGATTTGCTGACAGCTTTAGTCATGCTAGGTTAGTTGGTGAAGGAACTCCAGGTCCAAATGATACTGATTTTTTCGCCCGTAATGGCCACAGCATATGCGTGCAGCCATATGCAGTGCTGTTATATATGCTTTTGAAATATAGTTGGAGAGATGAGGTGACGGGCAGGCGAATACTATTTTTGAGAGGTTAGTAATGTGACTTATGTTGAAGTCAAGTGCAAAGGCAGTGTGTGACATAACTGTGGCAACGTAATAGCCGATAGGAGCGAAACACACTGTACACATCCAGCCACCATCAATGACCAGATAAGATATTCGTTTTGGTGGATAAGCGCTTATGATTTCCAAAATTACATGCAATTAAAGTCAAATTAAGCTGTCATACTTTGAACACATCGACACAGCTAGAAAGAAGCAAACTAAAAAGTTAATTCTAAGTGTTTACTTTGATATATAAGTGCTGATGGACATTCCTAAAAGTTCTACAAAACAAATGTGCATTTCAGCAGATCAAAGAAAGTAGTATGCTTGAGAAGATTGACGGCAGACTGATTTCATGTGGAATTGTAGTACATAAATCTATTAATGGCTAATTAGTTGTACTCATTTATTACAACCTAGCTTTTATACATAAATAAGATGTGTGGGAAATGGAAAACATTCATTTCACTTGGAGGACCTGGCTCCGAAACATATAATCATTAATTATTGATCTGAGTTACGTAGAGGAGCGAAACCTGTCCAACAAAGTTCCACAGGACGGTCTAAATATATTGAAGACTCAAATATGACATGGCACTGTACTGATTGTAATGGGATGGCCTACTTAATATGCAATCCCTATTTCGTCTGTCTGTCTGTCTGGATTCAACATAGAACTTGGCACCGAAGTGCAGCAGTTCCAGTTGCCACCTTCCAAATAGCACACAGAGGTAGACAAGAAGATGAGTGAAGAGAATCAATACAGTCTGACAAGTATAAGAGTGAAACAGAATGGGTAATGGTAGAAAGGAATATGAAAGATTACAGAGACTGAATACATCTGCGCCGGCCATTGACAACGATTTTGAGCCATGTCACCTATTGTCTCCAGCCATTGATTCCTAGAGTCCCGAGGGCCCCAACCCGGGAGTCTGCATCTCCCTACCTACCGACTCAGTTTAACTGTCAAGGATTTCATGGATTGATGAGGCCACGTTTTTGTTTGGCCACCACTGGCTCTTTTCCAACCTGCACCTATATCAGCTAGCAATGCCCGTCGGGGGAGGCGATGGTTAGGCATGCGCAGCACGTGACCTAGCCATCTCAATCTATGTAACTTTATAGCCTCATCGATTGATTTTCCCTGTTTGCCCAACATTCTACGCCTAACGTCCACATTACTTACCTTATTATACCACCTAACATGAGAAAGAGCTCACAGACATCTATGGTCGAAACCAGTCAACCTTTTCATGTCTTCAACGCGTATTGTCCATGTTTCAGAGCCATAGACAAGGACGGAGCGAACTGATGAGCAGTACACACGTCCCTTGGTTGATAACCGGATGTCACGCCTACGCCAGAGATGGTGTAAGTCAGCGAAAGCAGCTCGAGCTTTTCGGATCCGTGCTGAGATTTCATCGCCAATCAGTCCGTTGGTGCTAATACAACTTCCCAAATAGGTGGAGTGGTCAACATGTTCTATCACTTCACTCCCAATCACTAAGTTAGGGGTTGACGTGGTCCAGTCCTGTAGCAGCATCTTACATTTTGTAGGGGCGAATCGCATGCCAAACACACGAAGATTGCTGCTCAAGGTGTTCAGAAGACTCTGCATTTTGTCAGCATCCTCCCCTAACAGGACTATGTCATCTGCATATTCTAAGTCCATAAGACTATACCCTGGTAACAAGTCGATTCCTAAGTCATTACGTTCAGTTAAGGATACTTCCATCAGCATATCTATGGTGAAGTTAAACAGAAATGGGGAAAGTGGACATCCTTGTCGGACACCACTGGTTGTGACCAATTCAGCTGACGATTCCCTATCTCGACCTTAACATGAGACTTAGGTATTACTTTGCATTTTCATTTTGTCTTATGACATATTACGAATCTTGTTTCATCTTAGTACATACCTGATATGGAGACGAGAACTGTGCTAACTTGAGCCACCACACGTGATTCCACACCCTATGCTGGTAATATCCATCTACTATATGCAAATCTGATGGAGAAAGAATATGATATATGAGATCCCTTTGGTTGGTGACATTGATTTGAGCAGAGTGATACTATCATTATTACATAAATTTTATTCCAATTGGAAAATATGACTCCAAGCTAGAGCTTCGAAGTTACAGCAGTAGTGGCGTTTTTTACGGGATGAAGTTGCTAGCCTCACACCCAACCGTCCCTCTTTAACGGGTTTATTACCGGTTAAGTGAAGTAAAGGTATGCGTCGGCCTAGGATCCAACCCTGGACCACTTGAACAGTTGATCAGTGTTCTACTGATAATTTACCGATGCTATGACATAAAACAAAGTACTAATTAGTAGGATCCTTCTGCACCTGATTTAAAACATATGTTTCATAGTCCGAAACGAAGAAGTACTGTTTAACAAGGTGCAGATATAATCACAGGTTTGAAGCAAAAGTCTTTACCCTAAGGAATGCACATATTCCTATTTATTTGTGAACAGCAGTAAATACAGTTCTGTGCTACAGATAAAGGCGTTGGGTTGCTTGAAAAATTAATTTTAAATATATCATTACGATAAAAACTGGGGAACGTAAACATACGGAGTAAATCTGATTGTTGTTAAGTACGTGTACAGTCATTCTTATTTGATACTAATTTCCCATTGTCTCCTTTCAACATACTTTCTTCATGATTGCACAGCAAATTACCCGAATGTTTCGCCAATTTTAAGCTACAACTCTTCTTACATACACTTGATTTGGCTATTTGGAATAAAACAGCTGGAATCTTTGCTGGAATGTGAAGCAACTAAATCTCTAGAAGTGATACCTTATATAAGAAACTGAAATAATCCTTTCGATTATATCTAAAACCAGCTCTTTTACATATAGTCACATGACGATTAACTGCTATGGAAAGTGTTCAAGAGAAAGCGGAACTTTCTCATTGACATACTGGTGAATGTAACTTGAAGTTCTGTAGGTTATTTTTAATGGGACAAAAAAGTCTTTAAGTTCCTAAGAGACAATTTATGGTCAGTTGTATGCGTTGATGTATGCAAAAAGATTTAACTTTGTTCGACCAACTATTCTATATATATATATATATATATATATATATATATATATATATATATATATATATATATATATATATATATATATATATATAGTGTACTATTTTAGGGATTTTACATTAAACTCAGGAAAACACAGATTTGCTTCAAGCGCAGGATGCAACAACAGAAAAAACCACCCCCAAAATAACAGAAGATTGAATCAGTAATCATTATACTGTGTGGTAGGACCAAAATGCATTACCAAGGTACTTACTTAGATGTTTCTTTGAATGCAGTTGGTAAAACTGGCTCAAATAACTTCCTAAACTGGGGAGCTTCCATCATTCCTCTCTGTATAATGTCATTCGCAAGATGTAGAAAAGCGATCTTTTTCTTGGGGGCAGCTAAAACAGACATGCTTCACAATATATACGGGATACCTTTCCGAAATTCCTTGAACCACAACTTAACTAAATCCTTCGCCATTTCTTTATTACCCAGAAACCACTGAGACGTACTCTCCACAGAAATCTGAGAGTTATCCAGATCCTGTAACTTCTTAATAGCCTCAGACTCAGAGTAGGACATCATGTAGCGTAGCTACCACAAAACCCGCACTGTAATCCTCAGTTTTCCAACATCCAATACCGTTTTTACGAGCTAGTATAAACCAATTTGATTTCTTTGTGCTCTCTTCTTGATTGTAAGGCATAGGCTCCTGATCCTCGGTAAACTTCTGCGTAGCTCGTCCCGCCACTCGACTGTCGTAGCTTTGGTTGACTTCAAAGGGAGCAGTGCTGGGATTAACTAAATGTGGTTTGTAATATAAGGTGTGTTAAGACTGTTACTACTGTAAATGGAGTTGATCCTTTCGCCAGTTAGTCCTCCGGTATCGTCGACAAAAGAAAATAGATAATAATAGATATAATTAGTTAAGTTATTCAGACTAACAGACAGAAAAAGAAATAAGAAAACGTAACAACAGTCAGCTGATTATATTTGAATAATGTGAGTAAAATATATATCGGTAATATAGATAATAATAATAAGTGTAGTTAAAGATGTCAGGAGAGTAAGACGGAAGAGAATGTAAAGAAGTGAAACGACAAGTCTAACTGTTTACCCCTGAATGGTGTATGCGATTTTAAGGGGATAGGCCATTTGGATTCAGTCCTTGTGTGGCTGCATGGTTGTCCAGCCTTCGCTTGAAGGCGTCCACAGACGGTGCCATAGCTACATCTGCCGGTAAGGAAAACCAGGGACGACAAACCCGCAGGGAAAAGAAGTGGGAGCACACCCGGGTCTTCGCCCACTGGTGAGCTATCCTTCTGGGATTTCCACGAGGGAGCCTATGCCTACTCAATTTTTATTATCAGCGAATTGGTACTTAATCTTAAAATAGACTTTATTTTAAACCTTAAATAAAGGCGGGTAGTATGGGGTGTTTAACCATTACCGAATTTCTTATGGTTATTTATGTCTAATATATTGCAAGATTGTTTCAGAGCACATCCAGTATCCCATATCGTTTCGACATGTTAGTGCAAACCATTCCGGTTTCTTCGTGTCTGCTTCTTGATCGTGAGGTCAAGGTTCCTGGCCGCGCAGTTCGTCTCACCACTCGACTGTCGCAGCTTTGGTTGACCACAAAGGAGTGGTGCTGGATTAATTATATGAAGTTTGTAGTATGCGGTACTTCAATTAACAGAAGTTCTTTGCTAAAGGTTGAGTGAAAAGTTTCTGAAACATAGTGATCTTTGCTTAATTAATCATTATCGAGATATCATATTACGTAGAGAAAAGTGTGCTGACATATAGTGTTTACTTACTGCAGGAAAGTAACTGAAAGTAGAAAGGTGCAACCAGAATCTTCCTTTATATTTCACATGACTTTCATGATCGGTCGAAACTTCATTAGATCTGAGTTCATCGCAGTTAAGTCATGAATCAGAATAATGGGAAATTAACTGACTTTATATACCAGGTTGGAGAGTTGACAGATAATTTGCGAGTAAAGGACAGGATTAGATGAAAACTATGGGCTTTGTAAACCTTGTATTTATATCAATCCGCACCTTCTAAGCAAAAGGCTGAGTTACTTTGCTCTGATTGCACACCACCGCGGTAACAATTTGTTTATTCTTTACATTCCAAGTGGAACAAGGGGTTGAAGCTTGAAGTCTCACTGATGGTGATGGGTGGCAAACTTCACATTAGGCCTCACATTTATTCCGATATTATTATGGGTTAATGAAGTAGTAGAGGTTAAGATACACTTCCATAAGGTGTCGAACGCAGGCCACTTTTGTGGTTGGTAAGCATTCTGCAACTGAATACCTGACAATGGCCGGTTTCCTAATACTGAATCGAATCCTGTCCTTCCACACGAGAGACGGAAACTTTTGCTACTATACAGTTGAGCAGCAGAAAACACCCTCACATAGGCGGTCAGATATGTGGGACGCGAATCAGAGTCAGGAGTCCTAACCGCTAGATAATATTTTCTTCCAACTGGAATTCTTGCCTCCTTGATTCATAATCGCTATCAGGTAACTGAATAGTGAACAAACTATTGCACGACGGCCATGACATTTTTGGTTGGCATCACTTTTAGAAGTGACAAATGTGCCAGATGTTACTTCCATAGCGTATTATGAGGGATTATCATATGGAGTGCACAAACTGAGTGAAGTCTCAAAATAAGTGAAAGAAGTGTAAAATTAGTTCCAAAGAGTTGTGAGAACTTTGAAAAGAGTGAATAAGAAAGCCAAATTTACAGGAAAATTCTCTCTGTAAAATATTTTACACGTTCTAAATTCTAATTCGATCACACGAAATTCAGCAGTCTACAGTACCTCAAATACGAATACCAGCGAAAACGACGTCGCGGAATTGAACTTTCCACTATGGCCGTTAGACTCCTCTTTCTTACTTTATATCAATGCAAGTGATAAACCACGAATTTCGGCGTTAAAAAATGATGAAACAAAGCAGCGTAGACAGGAGGTGATCTTAATAAAATGGATGAGAATACCATGAAATTTCACGGAATATTGTAGAATGCAAGGTCTCGGATTTGCACCGAGATTTCTGGAGAGTGACAATGGTAAGGGCAGAACTAGAGCGACCTTATTGCATATCCCCTCAATGATGCTTGTTGCTATGTTGCTATTGGTTTCAAGTGGCCTTGGTTTTGGGTAAAGATTTAACTGATGTAATATTGCGATTTCGCAGACATAACTTAGGCTCATAGGTGAAAGAAATTTATAATCCTGGAATAAGGACAAGTCCGTTATATGTCACTTTAAGCTTACTGTCGTCATCATGAGACTATATTCAAATTACAGTAACCACTCATATGCCAGTCATCACGGCCTCTCTGTGGACGCCATATATTACATGTTTATGAGCTTCACACAGCACTGTTCGAATTCATCAATAGACACCAGAAAAATAATGTTAGATGGAACAAGAAACTCGTCAGGAACGCCTTTAACTAAGGAAGTGGTACAGCGTTCCTTCTTTTCATTGATAGTCTGCCGTATAATTGGTCTCCGTTTTTGTAAAGGTCTCAAACTCCGTTTTAGATAGCACCTGTCAGTGATATTTTCAGTTATACTGATGACCATTGTCAGTGCGGTTGAATTTGAAATGAGCAGTGTATGATTCATTTGTTCAGACGGACTTCCAGATTCTTTGAGGTCGACAGTTGTGGCAGGAGTCTAGTCGTTCACTATATGTCAGAAGTTCCCAGCAAAACAGCCAGAAGCATTATTGTGAGCCATAATGATACTACTTCTGGACTGTGTGATGTAGTGACACAGTTATCGTGGTATTTTGTCAGTGCAGAAATAAGCGGTCTTCAAATTACCAGTCTGTCTTCTAATGTCATCAAGTCGGCTTCTGCCCATAATAGTCTCAGTTGCAAGGATTATTCGCCTGGCAGAAGAACCAGCCTCAGAATCTGTGGGTTTAGAGTCCTTGAAACTAGCTCCTTTACGACGTTATAACTTTCAGGTTTGAAATATCTCTTGTTAGCTGATATTGTTTGGGATGAACGTGTATAACTTTGGAATTCACAGCTAGAGAACGCACAATAACATTAATCTGCTTTCTGTAGCATGAGAAAAGTACAAAAATACAATAGATCTCTGTGTGAATATGGTAGAGGTTTAAAGGGATATACCACATCGAAGTTAGAGCAGAGGAAAGTTTCACAGCGTCGTTCCTGTGATAGCCCTGTGTCAATGTAGTTGAAGATTGAACGATCAATTCATGGTTGTTTGCTCAAAACCAACTTCCCCAATTTTCGCGGAGGCATCAATACGACAGTCATCGTCTCATCGGTCGCTGTTCAGAAAGAAGAGTAAAATAAACCGTCAGAAGTGATATTGTGATTTATTATTGTAATATTTGTTCACAGACCTTAGTCATACGTCATTTATATGTTGGTGTAACAATAAAGAATCCTCGAGTCAACAATTGGTGTTTTGGTTTTTTCGTCCGTTATTACTAAGAGGTTCTGAGAAACTTCAAGCGACAGCGTGAGCCCGAGCGTAGCAAGAGCTGGGCATTAACGGTTTACGAGACGTGACTGACAGTTTCTGATGGTAGAAACAGATTCTGGCGGATTCAGACAGTTGGTGAAAGTTTGGATAGTCACCGTTCATCTTTCCTGGTGCCGGTCAAGTCCTCTTTGAACAAGCAATATCTGAAACGATTTTTGGAATTGGGTCAAGTTCAACAATGCCTGGGTCAAAGAAGGGACAGAGTGTCTTGGATGCAAACAGGAAGGTAAGTCATGGTGACTTGTCTGTTAATCCCTAATGAGGGATACGCTGAGACTATGAGCATATTACGTCAAAGGTTTGGAAGACCTTCAATGATTGTAAGGAACGTATACGAAGCTGTCAAAGGTAACGGCAGTCAACTTCAAGATGACTCCAAGGCACTTACTGAGTTTTTAGATAATCTTATGACTTATAAGAATACCTTGATTTCTATGAATTGCATGAGTGACTTCAACTCGAGTTTTATACTAGAAGTAATTGCAAGACGCCTACCTACTCAACTGCAAAGGAAGTGGGTGAAGATAAGCTCCCGTATGGAGGATGAGGGTATCGAGCCAAAATTTGATGATATCCTGAAACTAGCGGACTAGCGGTGTAAAACTCAGTCAGCTCGTCACAACATTAGTGGATAAGCATCTGAATACATGTGAGAAATGGTCTAAAACCATACTCTCTGACCCCCGACACCCCTCTATTCCCAACTCTCTCCCTGCATCTCATCAGTAGAACCAGAAATCAGTATAAAATAATATATGCTCGCACAACCAAGTATAGGAACTCAACGATACCATATTTGGCCCGTGTTCTAAGTGACAGAGACAATGTTAGGCGTGAAACCTATGACTTGCTTTGTTGTTAATAACATAATTTTGGCCCTTGTTTTTTTCCCCTTACACTCTCTTATTTGTACTCTATAGTGAACAACCTTCTTAAACATACTTAGCTGCTTAAAATTATTATCATTGGCTTACATTTTTATTCTTTATTCTATTCCTTCTTTGTACATCTACTGGGTCTGAC